GGACCGTGAGAGAACGGTCGCTCTCGGGATGGAGAGCCAGTCCCGAGGAAGGGGCCCAGACTTACTGGGGGTCCACGGCGTGAAGAAGTCACGACGTCGAGGGTCTGGGAACGGTGCGGTGGTGCGGTGACCACACACACACCGTGTGGTGAGTCGGTGGGGATTCGGGGTGACCGTTGGGTGTTGGGACTCGGGTCATTCTCCAAGGATGCGGCGGGCGATTGGGGGCTTCCAGGGCCCAAAACCGTGCGGTGACGGACCGTGCGGCGAGGCCTCCTGGGCTGAGGCTCCGCGGTCACCGCACGGCCGCCGCGCCGTGCTGGACCCGCCCAGGCCGTGGAGCCGGAGGGCCTCACGCCGTCGCTCCAGCAGCTCCGGGACATCCTCCAGACCTTCACGTGCGAGAGGCTCGGCCTGACCTACCACGGCTTCCTGCGGCAGCTGCTGCCGCGCGCGTGCGCCTCCGGGCAGAAGTCCTTCCGGCGGCCCGTGTCCTTCGGGTTCAAGGCCGGCCAGCAGCCCCCGCTCCCGCCGCAGCCGAGGAGCGGAGGGCGCCAAGCGCGCGCGCGCGCAGCGGCCCTGTCGGGGCCGACCCCGGGCCCCCGCTCGGTGCACGCGCCCTCGACCCGGCCACAGCGCCTGGGCCCGGGCTCGGCCCGGGGCAGGCCCGGTGCCCCAGACACCGCGCGACGCCGTGGCCTTTGCCACAGCGTGGCCCCACGAGTTCTGCCTCCTCCTGCCCGGGAGCCGGCCCCTCACCCTTCAGGGGCAACGATGGGGGTATCGCGGACTCCAGGTCGATGCATCCCCCCTTATGCCCGTCCCCCCTTATCGTTGCCCGTCAGCTCTGAGTCGTTTCGGATGGCCCTGGGTCTGACGAGGGCCCCCAGAGGCCGAGCGTTGCCAAAAGGCGTCCGTCGCGATGCTATCCGCAGCGCGGGCAGGCCGGGGTGTGTAGATAGTGTAGCCGACGCCCTCCGAGAGGAGGCCGCCTCCGCCACGGGCGAGGCCAGCCACCGGTGCGGACGGCGCGGACGGCGACGCCGTCGTGGTGCTCGACGAGGATTACAGGGGCAACGTCTGGGTGGGGATGATTACCCTGACCTTCCAGGAGGGCTAAAAAATAGCACCCGACGTAAAAACCTATCCCAGAGCTATTTTACGTCTTGGTTTTAGGCTGTTTCGTCTCGTTTTTTAGGTTTTTAGGTTTCCAGTGCTAAAAAATAGCTCTCTGGAAGGTCAGGGTAGGCTCAGAGGGGAACGCTGGATGGTGGCAGCTGGCGCCTTCAGGTATTCGAGTCGGAGGTGTGGATGCACGTTGGCACCCCTCCCCGCGGCCGTCTTCGTGCACCGAGGGACCGTAGGGAGGGCCCTTGATCTCCATTCGCCGATCGATGTCCGACCCCCACCCCCGCCCCCAACCCCCAATCGCCCATTGACATCCGCTCTGATAGGGGCCCGATAATCTACGTCGCCTAGGACCATGCGGATCCGCTCTCGAGGGCCTATCGCCGATCCATCGGCGATGTACCGCCAGCTCCAGGTGAGCGACGCAAGCAAACGGGGTCCTCGTCTCCAGTGTGGCGTGCCGCGGTCTCGGCCCGCGTAAGCTTCGGCGTAAGGTCGCTGTGCCATCTCGCTCAGTCGATTACAGAATCGATTTACCCCAAAAGTGTTTTTTCCGTCGAACCTGCGAAAAACGCGTACAATATTCCGCATATCTGCGGCACGTACCACGCATTTCGCAAGAAAACCTGGATTTGGGGGCAAATCGATTCTGTAGTCGATCCCCTACTCGATGGGCTGACCCCCCTCTTCGCTCGGCGTCACCCCAACATTTTCATGCTGTGTGTGCGTCACCCCCTCCAGGGGCGACGCGCGCACCGAGAATTCTTACAGTAGATTCGGCGTGGCGGGCGCGGTTCTGGCCACACCGCTCGGGAAGCGATGTACTGCAATGTGGGTACGCTAGATGTTCGGGCCGGACGCGCGCCTCCGAGGACATATAAAACGACACGAAGATCGGGACAAACTCGGATCGGGATAACTCGAAATCTCTGGGAATCGGCGGGTCTGGAGGATGTATTGGGCGCCGCGGCCGCTCCAGAGCGTGCCGGAACGCTCTGAGAGCGCTCCGGGACGCTCTGGAGCGATTTGTCGCGATCCTAGCCCTGTTTTAACATTTTGCCGTTTTCGCCTTCTCGGAGGCACACAATGCTGCTTTTGCCGGTGCCCAGCGCGCGGAGGGAAGCAGCCGGAGGCACCTCACGCCGCGCCAGTGGAGTCTTTACAGATGTGTGTGCGTGTGTGTATTTTGGGGCCTCTTGCGGGGCAGTATCAGTGTGTCCCTGTGCGTCCCATTCGCAGCCGCCCCCGAGAGGAGGAGGCCCCCGCCCGCGAGGAGCGGGAACGGTCCCCGGCGGGGGAGCCGCTGCCCGCAGACCCGTACGCGAGCCGCACGGCGCCGCTGGCGCTCCTGAGGCACTACCTGGGCAGCGGCAGGCCCTCGTCGGGGGGGCGTCACTGGCGTTGCATTTTTCGGGGGGCCTCGTCCTCCTCCTCCTCCTCCTCCTCCTCCTCCTCCTCCTCCTCCTCCCCCTCCTCCACCTCCTCCTCCACCTCCTCCTCCTCCTCTTCCTCCTCCTCCTCCTCCTCCTCCTCCTCCTCCTCCTCCTCCCAAGAGCTGGTGCCTCTTCCTGTGCCCCGACGCGGGCTCGGTGCGGTTTCGACGCGGATTTGGCGCTGATTCGGCGCGGATCCGAGACGGATTCGACACGGGTCCGACGAGGCCGACGCGGATTCGACACGGATCCGACGCGGATAGGACCGCGACGGGACAGACAAGGTGCCCCGAGGATGCAACATAACCCTCGTCGGGGGGGGCCTCTAGGCCTCCCAGATGTGGTCGGAGTAGATGGGGTCGGAGGACCGATGCATCGCCGATGCGGCTCGATGGGGGGCCTGGTTTGCTTCACGCCGACGTCGCCGATGCATCGCCCTCGTCGACGATGCGTCGCCAGTGCATCGCCAGTGCATCGCCGATGCATCGCCGATGCATCGCCGATGTATCGCCGATGCGGCGCGATCCTCCGACCCCATCTACTCCAACCCCATTCAGGAGGCTTCTACAATCACCGCCCACCAAGCCACCCCGACTCAACCCGAAGGCCCCGATTTGCCCTCCATTTCCAGCGGGGGTGGGGGGTCGGGGAACATTGAAAAAACATAAAAAGCCCTTGCCCCCCCAACCCGAAATTCGGGTCTTCGGGTTGGGTTGGGGTGGTCTGGTAGGTAGTCAGTCAAGGCTTTTACGGACCACCTGCGCCGATTCTGGCCAGGCCCACGCCCCAAGTGCTCGACGATCGGATTTGTGTTGTGCGCACATGTCCGTGTCCACGCCCTCGCGGTCTGCCTTCCGGGGCGCGATCTTGCAGATACGCGGTCACACGGATACGTTCCGCGAGCGGGGCATCCGCTAAAAAAGCGTCCCGTGTCCGCGGGGTCGCGGCCCAGGAGCCTGGCCTGTGCAGCCGCGGATGCGGATGTGTTTTTCGCCCATCACCTCGTCAGGCCACATCTTCGACGATCTGCTTTTGGTGATATTCTGGCGTTTTTCCTCGAGTTCAGCCTTTGGGGCTCGTTCCATCGAGCCCCGGAACGAAAAGCTACGCCTGGGCAGGGGTCCAGAGCTCTGGGGGTCGCGGATTTTATATATATATATATATATATATATATATATTATATATATAAAAAAAAGATGTGTGAGCCCAGGACCGGTGCACACGCATCCCCGAGCAAGCCTGGAGGGCATGTGGCCAGGAAAGTCTGTGCTCAGCGTGTCGCGCCGCCATGCCTGGCCCACCACGCTCCGGCGGGTGTTCACCACGTCCTCCTCCTCCTCCTCCTCCCTCCTTCTCCTCCTCTCCTCCTCCTCCTCCTCCTCCTCCTCCTCCTCCTCCTCCCATTCCCATCGGGGGCGGCAAAGAGGGGGGTGATGACTAGGGGGTGGTGGATATCATGACGGGCGCCATGATATCTCCTCAGATTTCATGGTGCCTCCTCTTATCGAAGACGCCTACGGCGAATCGCCGCCGCCCCTTGCCTTTTTGGAAGCGCCTATGTGGCCGAGCGTTGAGGCCAGACCTACCAAGCTATCGGACCATGTGTTCCCCGGATCGGTTTGGAAAGCCTTCGGGGAACACGTGGGCATCTTGAAGGTCATTTTGGCCGTCTGGAGATCATTTTGACCCTTTCGGGCCTTCTTGGGGGACGTCTTGGAGGGCTCTTGGGCCGTCTTGGAACCCATGTTGAGCGTCTTGGAGGCCTCTTGGGCCGTCTTGGGGGCCTCTTGGGGCCGGCTTGGGGGCCTCTTGGCTCGTTCTGGGGCCATCTTGGAGGCTTCTTGGGCGATCTCTGGGCGATCTTTGGGGGCTCTTGGACCGTCTCGGGCCGTCGGAAGGCCGAAAAGAAGCAAATGTCAAAATCTGTCAAAACCTTAGGAAAATCAGTGTGTGTGTGTGTGTGTGTGTGTGTGTGTGTGTGTGTGTGTGTGTGTGTGTGTGTGTGTGTGTGTGTGTGTGTGTGTGTGTGTGTGTGTGTGTGTGTGTGTGTGTGTGTGTGTGTGTGTGTGTGTGTGTGTGTGTGTGTGTGTGTGTGTGTGTGTGTGTGTGTGTGTGTGTGTGTGTGTGTGTGTGTGTGTGTCGTGCGTGTGCGTGCGTGCGTGCGTGCGTGCGTGCGTGCGTGCGTGCGTGCGTGCGTGCGTGCGTGCGTGCGTGCGTGCGTGCGTGCGTGCGTGCGGGCGGGCGGGCGGGCGGGCGGGCGGGCGTGCGTGCGTGCGTGCGTGTGCGTGCGTGCGTGCGTGCGTGCGTGCGTGCGTGCGTGCGTGCGTGCGTGCGTGCGTGCGTGCGTGCGTGCGTGCGTGCGTGCGTGCGTGCGTGCGTGCGTGCGTGCGTGCGTGCGTGCGTGCGTGCGTGCGTGCGTGCGTGCGTGCGTGCGTGCGTGCGTGCGTGCGTGCGTGCGTGCGTGCGTGCGTGCGTGCGTGCGTGCGTGCGCGCGCGCGGGCGGGCGGGCGGGCGGGCGGGCGGGCGGGCGGGCGGGCGTGCGTGCGTGCGTGCGTGCGTGCGTGCGTGCGTGTGTGTGTGTGTGTGTGTGTGTGTGTGTGTGTGTGTGTGTGTGTGTGTGTGTGTGTGTGTGTGTGTGTGTTTCCTTTTCTGGCCTTCCTGGAGGCCCTCTTGGGCCGTCTTGGGCCAGCTTCGAGCCAACTTCGGCCATCTTGGTGGGTTCCTGGCCCATCTGACGCCGTCTGGAGCCGTCTTGGGGGCCTCTCTGAATTGGCTTGGGGCCCTCTTGGGGCGCTTCGGGGCCGTCTTGGAGGCCATGTTGGGCGTCTTGGAGGCCTCTGGGGCCGTCGTGGGGCCCTCTTGGGGTAGTCTTGGCATCTGTGAGGCCTCGTGGGCGATCTTGGGGCGATCTTGGGGGCCTCATGGGCCGTCTTGAGCCGTCGGAAGGCCGAAAAGAAGCAAATGCCAAAATCCTTCAAAAACTAAGGAACATCGATGATTTTGGCCTCTTCGAGCCCTCCTTGAGGATCTCTTGGAGGCCACTTGGGTCGTCTTGGGCCGTCTTGGAGGCTTCTCGGGCGACCTTGGAGGTACCTTGGACTCTCTTGGGCCGTCTTGGAGGCCGTCTTGGACCATCTTGGGCGGACTTGGAGGCCATCTTGGACCATCTTGGAAGCCATCTTGAGCCAACGTGGCCATCTTGGAGGCCATCTGGAGCCGTCTTGAAGGATTGTTGGTGGAATTGAGGTCCGTGGCAATCCTCCCAGGACCCCGGCGGGACGCGCCGGAGCCCCAGGGGGAGTTCACCAAAACCAAAAGCGGTAGGATCTGGCACGCCAGGCACCCCTTTGATGAATCAAAAGGGGGCGGCGGATTCCATTACATTATGTCCTTGGCCCCCCCCACCAAAGGGCCGCGCACATGCTGCCGGCCATGATTTGCGCCCCCCCCCCCTCTCGGACGCCCCTCTCTCGGCCGCCCCCGATCCCAGCCTCCCGCCTCGCGGATCGGAGCGACGCGCGCTCCGCTTGCAAGGCGTAGCGCGTCGTTGGGGCCGCCGCCGCGACACGCTGCTGCGCAGGAGTTCCTGGCCGTCTGCCTCGATCCTGGGCCCAGGGGGGTCTTGGCCGGCGTCGGCGGCAGGCAGCCCCCCCCTCCTTCTCCTCCTCTCCTCCTCCTCCTCCTCCTCCTCCTCCTCCTCCTCCTCCTCCTTCTCCTCCTCCTCCTCCTCCTCCTCCTCCTCCTCCTCCTCCTCCTCCTCCTCCTAAGGTTTCTCGGCCTGCGGGACGGGTTCGTGGCGTTCGAGGACGACGGCGTCCAGTACCCGGCCGAGACCCCGACGCCGGTGCGGGAGCGGCCCGGGGGCGGCGCCCTGCTCAGCCTGGGCTCCCTGTGGCTGCTGGCGGTGCTGCGCCAGGCCTACTGGCAGCACGCGAGGGCGCTGTGCAAGAAGCACGGGCTCGCGCAGGTCTCGAAGGCCCACGCCGAGGAGCTGCTGGACTTCCTCCTGGGGCGCTCGGACCACTGCGTGCTGCTGCTCGGGCCAGAGGACCTGCGGGCGGCCCCGCCGCCGGAGGCGACGTGGGTGGCGCGGCCCGCCGGGGGCGACAGGCCGTCGCTGATACCCCTGGCGCAGCTGCAGGGCTTCCCCGGCCTGCCGCCGCTGTCCGACGACGCCGCGCAGCAGCTGGACAAGCTCAGGAGGCGCCTGGCCAGGCAGGCCGCGGAGCGCTCCAGCGACGAGGCGGCCGCCGGCGAGGTGGCCGCGCGCTGCCGCGCGGCCGAGGACGTCGAGGCCGCCCTCTGCCAGAACGAGGTGGAGGTGGCCGCGCTGGCGTCGCTGCTGGAGCAGCTGCAGGGCCGGCTCGAGGCCACCGACCGCGAGCTCGAGGCGGTGCAGGGCCGCAGGCGGCGGCTCCTCGAGGAGCACCGCGCCGACCTCGCCGCGGCGCGGCCGGGCGCCGCGAAGCGGCGGCGCGGGCCGGGGCCCGGCGCGGCAGCGCAGGGCGACCCGATCGGGCACCTCCTGGCGCTCTGCGAGGCCGCGGTGCCCGCCGGCGGGCCGCCGGCGAGGGCGGAGGTGCCCAGGGCCGAGTGAGGCGCGGGCCGCGGCGCGGCGTCGCGCGCGCTCCGTGCGCACGGCTCGCGAGGGGGAGGCGAGCAAGCCGCGCCCGCGCCGGCCGCTAGGGCCCCGCCTGCGCAGGCAAAAGGGGCACCCAGACATTCTGCACGAACGAGATGGGCACGGAAAGAATGGGCACAATGCCCAACAGCAGCTCCTGTTCATTTTGAGCAGGACTCGCTGTCCGCGCCGCCGCGGCCTGTGCCCATGTGAAACAGAGGGCCGCCTGCCCAACAGCGGCCGCTGTTGGTTTGGGGCAGCATTTGTTGTTGGGCATTGTACCCATTCTTTCCGTGCCCATTTCGGGTGTCCAAAGACATGCGACGTCCTGATTTTTGTCAGGACGGCGTCCCTGGAAGTCCCGACCTTTTCCCCGGGACTGGTTTTTCATCCTGAGTCGTTTTGTTGACGGTCCTGAGGCCCGGCGAGGGCCTCCAGGGGTCGAAAACATCGTACCACCCTCCATCCTGATTGTTTTGCGACGCCGTCATGTTTGGGCAGCGGAGGGCGAGGGGCTCGCGCACCTCCTCATACCCCCCTCGCGCTGCGAAGAGATCGCGGCGGGAGGCGTTTCGCCGTCTTCTGCCTTCGGGGGCCCCTGTGCGGGGCCCCAGGAGCGTCAACAAAGCGGCCCAGGATGCAAAACCAGTCCCCAGGGAAGGGGTCCAGACTTCTGGGAGTCGACGTTGCGTTATGCCGGGCCTGTCCCCCTACAGGGGGATTTCCGACGAAAAATAAGAAATACCCCAACAATACTCCAAAAATGCTCCAAACATAGTCTGGGGACTATTCTTGAGTACTTGTTTACCTTTTTGGAATATTTAGGGTTTTTTTTTTCGTCGAACATCCCCCTGTAGGGGGACGCGCCCGACATAAAAGTTGCGGCAGAAGCCACGACGTCGGGGGCCTGGGTCTCTGGCCGTGCTCCCGGAGGGGGGAGTGGCGGCGGGGGCGCGGAGGGGGCTGCGGCCCGTCTCGGGGCGTCGTGTGACTCGGCGGGCGGCCGAACGGTGCGGCGACCACACCGTGCGGCGAGTCGGTGAGGAGTCGGAGGGCTTCGGGTGAAGTCGGGTCTGTCCCCCTACCGAGGGGTTTTCGACGAAACATAAAAAAAAGAGTCAAAAAATAGTCTGGGGACTATTTCTGGAGCAGTTCTTGACCTTTTTGGTGTATGTTTGGGGTATTTTTTATGTTTCGTCGAAAATCCCCCTGTAGGGGGACACGCCCGACTTAAGGCTTGGGGTCGTTCTCCGAGGGCGTCTCGGGCGACTGGGGCCTCCCATGGTCCCAAAACCGTGCGGCGGTCTTTCTGGGGATCCCGCAGGTACCGCACGGTCCCCGGGAATGCCAGGGCCGGAGTCGGTTTCGGGTGCTCGCGGCAAGAACGGGAGGGAATGTTGTGTTTCTGCCATTCACTCTCGGCATCAGAGTCCCCGCTGCGAATCGGTCGCTGCCGCCTCCAAGAGGTACTCCGCGACCTACGTCATCCTGCTTTAGGAGCGACATGGTGACGGATGTTGTGGAAGAGACGAGAGCGATACGAAACAATGCCGTGGAGGTCCCTCCAGGGCCCTGGAGCCCCCCGCAGGCCCGAAGTGGGCCAGATCCATGGTCGGAGAGCCGGTGCCAGAATCCTGCAGTGTGCCCATTCCGTGCCGATCGATCTGACTCGATGTCGAGCTCGCGGGGCTCGATCCGATCCGGTTCCGATGCTCCAGCGATCACGTGCGGCCCGAAGCCTGCAGGGCGCAGTTGTCTCTCCCGGTGCAGCCGATCCGATGCTATCTCGCCTCCGTGCCGATGCAGCCCGATGCGACGCACGCTCCGATCCGTTACGACTTCCCGGTGCGGTGCTGCCCGATCCTGCTCCGAGGGTCCGACGTCAGAGCTCCGGAGCGGCAGGCGTCCCTCCTGCCCTCTCTTCCGAGGTCGGAGTCTCTCTCGTGATGTGGGCCCCCTGGGGGGTCAGAGCTCCCTGCGTCGAGAGAGCATCACGACGGGCGGTTGCTTCGGCGGCGCGCCCAGCCGACTGCGTGTGAATCCATGCAGGCACTCAGGTGGGCCGTGCGCTTCGCGCGCGACCAGCTCGGGTGTTCTGTGCCGGGCAGTATCAGAAGGCGGGGGAGATTCTCAGAAGCCCTCTCTGTCTGTGGGGGAGGCTCGGCCTCTCTGTCTGTGGGGGAGGCTCGGAAAGCCTTTCAGAAAAGAGGAGGCCGTCTGAGCCTTCGAGAAGGCCCGCCCCCATCTGCCTTCCTGAGCCTTCCCCTGGGCGCGACGCCAATGTTTGGCAGTCTTCGGCCTCTGCAGGGGGCTTTGCTGCGCCCAAGAGCTGTCAACAAAGGTCAGTCGGTTTCCGGGAAGGGTCCCATACTTTTGTGTGGGGAGCCACGTGGTGAACAAAAACATCCCGGCGCCAGGTGCCTGGGGACTTCGACCCCTTCACCTCCTCGGCCTCCTCCTCGGCCTCCTCCTCCTCCTCGACCTCCTCCTCCTCTTCCCACTCCTCCTCCTCCTCTTCCTCTTCCTCCTCCTCCTCCTCCTCCTCCTCCCAATCCTCCTCCTCCTGCTCCTGCTCCTCCTCCTCGACCTCCTCCTCTCCTCCTCCTCGACCTCCTCCTCCTCCTCCTCTCATCCATCAGCATCAGCATCAGCATCAGCATCAGCATCAGCATCAGCATCATCATCATCATCATCATCATCATCATCATCATCATCATCATCATCATCATCATCATCATCATCATCATCATCATCATCATCATCATCATCATCATCATCATCATCATCATCATCATCATCATCATCATCATCATCATCATCATCATCATCATCATCATCATCATCATCATCATCATCGTCGTCATCATCATCATCATCATCATCATCATCATCATCATCCTCGGCCGCCTTCTCCTCCTCCTCCTCCTCCTCCTCTTCCTCCTCCTCCTTCTTCTCCTCCTCCTCCTCCTCGTCCGTTTCCTTGCCCTTCTCCTTGCCCTCCTCCTCGGCCTCCTCCTCCTCTCTCCTCCTCCTCTTCCTTGCCCTCCTCCTTGCCCTCCTCCGCCTCCTCCTCCTCATCATCCTCTTCCTCCCGAGCTCTTCTTTTTGGCGGCGCGCCCAGGGGGAAGGCAGAGGGGGCGGCCCTTCTCTTAGAAGGCTCTCGAGGCTGCTGGCCTTCTGAGACGCCTTCTGCGGGAGCTGTCTCCGAAGCCACAGACAGCTCTTCAGAAGGGCCGCAGGGCTTCGCTGCGAAGCCCCGCCATCTTCTGAGAAGCCCTGCCCCCTCCCCCTTCCCTCAGATCGAGTGTTGCAGAAGAGTTGCAGCATCGCGGAAAAGCACGACCGGAACCCTAGACCCCATCTTTCTGCGCTGTTTCTCGAGCCAGAACGAGTTGTGAGGGCACCGGGGCCTGAAACTAGGTGAAAACGCCCGTTGTGAAAAATTCCACCGCCAGGGTCTGAGGGTCGGCGCGCTGCCGTTCTCTGGCGGCCCCAGGGCCGGGAAGCGGCCTCAGGGGGGGCTCCACACCGGAGTCGGAGGAGGAGGAGTAGGAGAAGGAGGAGGCAGGGGACCAGTGGAAACCCAAGAGACCTCATCAACGATGTTTGGACACGCCCTACCTCCAAACTCCCTCTTCACAGGGCCCATGCAAAGATTCACTTCCACTGAGGGAAGTGCACCGTTGGGAAACAACCGAATGAAAATCTTGAAGCGTGCCAGAACACCGTTCCTGGGACTTCAACACCGCGAGCCAACGTAACTGTTGCGCCCTGGCAGTCCTGAGTCGCTCGCAAACAAAAAATCTGGAAGGCTAACCATGGGAATCCTTCAATTTCTTCCAACTGCTTGAAACGAATGTGCGCGGGGCTGAAGCGAGAGCCACACTTTGAAAAGGAGCCGCCCTCAACCCGCAAAACTCTTGCAAATTGTTAACACGATTGTTAACACGAATATGCGCGGCGCTAAGACGAGAGCCACATTCTGAAAACGACCCGCCCTCAATCCGTGAAGCTCTTCCATGTCTTCAGGAGAGTGTGCGCTTCGCTAAGGCGAGGGCCACATGTTGAAAACGACCTGCCTTCAATCCGTGAAGCTCTTGCGCGTTTTCAAATGAGTGTGCGCGGCGCTATGGCGAGAGACACAGTTTGAAAACCACCCGCCCTCAGTCCGTGAAGTTCTTGCAAATGTCTTAGAAATAATGTACGCGGTGCCAAGGCGAGAGCCACATGTTTAAGCCACCCGCCCTCAATCCGTGAAGCTCTTGCAAATGATTAAAACGAATACGCGCGGCGCTAAGGCGAGAACCACATGTTGCAAGCGACCCGCCCTCCGTCTGTAAAGCAGTTGCCAGTTTCAAGGCTTCCGGGTCATAAATGGTAAGGAAGTCTCAGGCGAAACGTGCAGCCCGATCTTCCGATTGGCTTCGGAGCGCGACAGGGAGTAGTTATTCATGAGGAAAAAGAGCGGGGGAGGAGGAGGAGGAGGAGGAGGAGAAGGAGGAGGAGGAGGAGGAGGAGGAGGAGGAGGAGAGAACAGACCTCGGACGACGCCACCCACCAGGCACTCGAGCACGGCGAGGAACCACAGCTACCACTTCTCCAGACAGAGGGTATCGACCCCAACCGCATGATCGATTACAGGGAGTACGTCTCCAGCATCACCGACGCCATCGTCGGCCTCCGCCTCACCATGGAGACCGAGGACCTGGACGAGTACCGCCGAGTCGTGCTAGACATCGTGCACCGCGCAACCTTCCGCGAGAGGATCGCGGGCCGCCGCGCCCACCCAGAAGGACCCAGCCCCGCAGCAGACACAGGATCTATCGAGGGAACCCACGACCATCACCCCGTGCCCTACCGGTCCGACGTCACACGCAACCATGCCTCCACCGCTCCGCTGTCCCTCCAAGGAGGAGCAGAAACCAGGCGCCGAGAACAGCCGCGCACGCGGCAATGACCTGAGCAAAACGCTGGGCAACTTACGACCCCCTACCCGGTGCTGGGAGCAGCACCCGTGGCACGGGCCACCCTCACCGCGAGGGGCACCAGCACCAACTTCAACGTCTCCCAGCGTCAACCTCTACAGCTGCAGCCGCCCACTGCAGGGCTCAGTCCTCCCACATCTCTACCACCTGTGCTCCAACGACGGCACGACCATCACCAAGCTGGCTCCGACCTATCCCACAGCTCTCACCACGACGCCACACCTCCACTACGCACTCACTGCAACCACGGCAGCAGCAGCAGCAGCAGCAGCAGCAGCAGCATCAGCTACTCCACGGCGTGGCACCAGCAGCCTCCCCACCTTCGGGGCACACAGCAGCGCACTCCAACTTCAGCACCACGCCTACTTCCACAACCGCAACCTCCTTTCCTGCGGGTACCTCACGAACCTGCACTTCACGAACTCCCTGAACGCCAGCCTCACCCTCACCCATCCCTCACTGCTTCGTGAAGCCCCCCTCCCCCCCTTTCGCCTCTAACCTTGACCTCCCTCCGCAGCCGCCAGCGCACGAACTTGGGGAGGGACCCGGCCAAGGGGCCAGGACAGCCAGAACACGGGACGCGCAGGGAAGACCAGCGCCGTGCTCGGCACAGGACCCCGGGGAAAAACACAGCCTCCCCTGGAGGCCGCGGGCCAGACGGCAGCACTCCCACCGAGAGCCTGGCCGAGGAGGCCGCCACTTCCCCCACCCCGGGGGGGCGCTGGCTCTGCTCGGGCCCTCCCCCCGCTGCTGGCCTGCCCTCCTCGACCGCCGCCTCGACCCCAGCTCGGCGCCCACGCCCTCGCCCCCGCCCCCTGCCCACACGGCCCCCTCCTGCTGCGTGCCGCCGCGTCGCGCACGGCCTCCGCCCCCCCGGCGAGGGGGGCCGAGGCGGGCCCCTCCCTCCGCCCAGGGAGGGGGCCCACGCTCGGGCCGTCTCTGCACCCGCACAGGGCCGGTGCCGAGCTATGCCTCTTCCCCCTCCCTCCTCCACGGTCACAGGTGTCCGTCCTCCTCCTTGCTCATCTCTCTTGTCGCCTCCTGGTTTTTGTTCGCCCTCCCCCCGCAGGTCGAGGGGCGGGGGGGCTCGAGGGCATCGGCGCTTCGACGCGAACTCGTCCGCATCACCGAGCCACCGAGGGGGAGGAAGACGAGGAGGAGGAGGAGGAGGAGGAGGAGGAGGAGGAAGAGGAGGAGGAGGAGGAGGAGGAGGTGGAGGCAGAGGAGGAGGTTGAGTAGGAGGAGGAGGAGGAGGAGGAGGAGGAGGAGGAAATGACAGGATCAGGAAGAGGATGCAGAGGAGTCGAAAGAAGCCGCCGCGACGTTTTCCTCGGCGGCGCCCCGGCCGCAGCGCCTTCCAGGAGTCTGGGCGGCGGCTGGCCGAGGAGGAGGCCCGGCGCCTGCAGCTGGAGGCCGCGGGGGCGCGCGCGCTGGAGCTCGCGGAGGAGGCCAAGGCTCGCGCCCCGACCCTGCAAGCTCTATTCTTTAATTCGGTGCCTCCAGGCACTTGATGTGGATCCTGCCGTCATCCTCCTCTGACTCTCCTCCCCTCCTCCTTCCTCCTCCTCTTCCCCCTCCTCCTCCTCCTCCTCATCCACCTCCTCGACCTCCTCCTCCTCCTACCCCTCCTCCTCCCCTTCCGCTTCCTCCTCCTCCCTCCCGCCCCTTCTCCTCCTCCTCCTCCTCCTCCTCCTCATCCTCCTCTTCCTCCTCCTTCTCCTCCTCCTCCTCCTCCTCCTCATCCTCCTCCTCCCCTCTCCCCTTCACTTCCGCTTTGCGAACTTACCATTCCCATTCCCATGGCCTCCTCCCCCTTACATCCTCCCCCCGAAAAACAGAATTCTTCACACAATAGTTCAACGTTCGACGGTCCGCCAGTAGTTCTTTCTTGGATCTGCGCTCCGCCACCCTGGCCGAGCCTCCGGCGTTCCAGCGCCGCTCTTGGCGCACTCCGCGCCAGGGAATGGGGCCCAGCGCAGATACCATTAAGTCGGGCGTGTCCTTCTACAGGAGGGATATTCGAAAGTAGTCAAAACATAGTCTGGGGACTATGTGTTTTACCATGTGTGACCATTTGAGCGCCTTTTTTGTTGACTATTTTTCATTTTTCGCCCAAAATCCCCCTGTAGGGGGACAGGCCCGACTTAAAGATACCAGAAACCCGCGCGGAGCGAAAGTTTATGATTATGCAGCTTCCCTCCTCTACGGAGGCCAAGGCTCGTGCCCCGGCCTCGCGCGGCGCCCAGCGAGCAGCGGAGGCGTCCCGGCGGAGGCGCCACTGACATCCTCGCGCTGTGATCAATACTTCGCGACGCGAGGAGTGTTTGCGATCTTCTGCCTCCGAGGAGCCTCCCTGGAACTGTCAAACGACGACTCCCGGGTGAAAGCCAGGCCCCGGGCAAGGGGTCCAGACCTGTCGGGGGGCACGCTGCGAAAGAGTCACGACGTCGGATGTCTTGTCTGTGGCGGCCGTGGCCAGCCGGCGGAAGCAGCGGCGGCGTCGGCGGAGGCGGTGGTGGCGGCGGCGGGGGTGGCAGTGGCGGCAGGTGCGGCGGCGGGCAGCTGCGGTGGTGTCAGGCGACGGGAGTGGCTGTGGCCGCGGCGGCAGTGCAGCAGCCCGTCATGCAGCGGCCGCGACCCAGACCTCCCCATCGCGCCGTGGAGACGTCGCGGCCGAGGGCGTTCGGGCAATTTTCGAATCATGTTTGGGAAGCGGGAGACTCGAGTTTGCCGGGACTCGGGTTCGCAGCCGCGTTTTGACGGTCCCGGTGTGGATTCTGACGGCCCTGTTTCCGTGAGACGTTTGCAGCAGGAGGTCGCGCCAAATTTCAGCCCCGTCAGACAAACCCGAGTCCCCTCAGCTCGAGTCTAACGTTCTCCCGATTCTGTGGGCCACATACAGGGCCTTGGGGTAGGCAAACAATTTCTCGAGAAGGGAACATGGTACTATGGCGAAGGGGTCGGCACCTCTGGGGGTCCAGGTTGCGAACAAAATCACGACGTCGGGGGTGATTATGGGAGGGAAGTAGCGAAGGATCGAGGAATCGAGGTGTTGGGACGATGTTTTTCTGATTTGGGCCCCTAGAGGCCTTTTGGGAGGGAGGGCGGAGGGAGGGCGGAGGGAGGGCGGAGGAGGAGGACGGAGCGAGGGGAGAAGAGAGAGAGAGAGGAGGGAGGGAGGGCAAGAGGGAGGGAGGGGCAGGGAAGAGAAGGGAGTGTAATGAAGGGGGGAGGGGGGAGAAAAGAAAGATGAGAGTGAGAAGAGGGAGACTAGGGAGACTAGGGATGGAGAAGGGGAGAAGAGGGAAGGGGGGGAGAAGAGAAAGAGGAGGCAGAACAGAGAGAGGAGGGGAGGGGGGAGAGCGAGCGAGGGAGTAAGGAAGTCCAGCGGAGGCGAGGCTTGGAGGGGGATTTGGGCGAGAGGTAAGGGAACTGCAAGGGCGTCCGCGGTTCAGTCGGTTCGGCTGCGTCGCAGTCGGTTGCGCTCGGTCGGGTGGGTCGGCTGTTGCGTCGCTGCTGCGTCGCTGCGCCCTTGCAGGCTGCTTGCGGCCCGCCGATTTCGGTCGGTTTCGGTCTCGCTGTCGGTTCGGTCGGGTTTGTGTTGTGCAGTCGCCTTGGACGGTCTTGGTTTGACGGACGATTGCTCGGTTGCGTTTCCTTGGTGCGTTCTGGAAAAATGATATCTCGCCTTGGCTTGCCTTGGTCCATCCTGAGCAAGATGCCGTTTGAGGGGCGCCATCTGCCAAGCCTCCTTGGTTATGTTTTCGCTTGTTCGGGCATGGTCTGCTTCGGCCTGTCCTGGCATAGTCTACGCCGGCACTCTCGCAGCATACTGAAGTTGACCAAAGCGGCTGCCCCCCATGAGGCACCACACGAGCGCAATTCCTGAGACGTGAGACGTGTTTTGTTTTCCAAGATTTCCCCCTGGCCGACCCTCCCTCTCCACTCCTACCACCTGCCTCCATGATCATGCATACTCTACCCTACTCCATCCATTCCTCCCCTCGCCTCAGTCCCTCTCCTTTTCGGTGCCCTTCTCTCCATCCTTGCCTCTGTATGTCAGCTTCTCGCGATCATGGTCATCGTCACTGGCCTCGTCCTCGTGGTTCCTCAGCCCATATCCGATAATCTTGTCCTTCTTAGCAGGAGCAAGGCGTCCCCTCTGGAAACATCTTGCTGCCGTTACCACGTCGTCACTCTGGCTCCAGCACCTTCTGCGCTCTGGCGGCACGTGCACAACGCACTGTGCCCCAGGGTGTTGCTGCGGGCATGCTGGCACCGCTGGTGCCCGCCATGCCCTTCAGCGACACCGACCTTGTACTTGTCTTTGGGCACTGGAGCAAGGTTCCAGACCGAAACTACGACGGCGACCTCTTTCCGGTTGAGCACCTGCGCTTCACGCACGACAAGATCCGGCCCGTGTTCGGGGCACATGCCCACGCAGGCCTCCTCAGCCGATCGAGCGATGCCCGATCGAGGTTGCCGCTGCCCATTTTCCTAGAATGCGCACGCCGATGACAGGGGAGCGACTTCTGTGCACGGTGCCCCTGCAGCAAAACTCCCACGTCCCCCAGAACTTTGACCCACCCACCCCCGAGAGTCAAGGGAGGGGGGTCGACCCCGCATGTCGGACCAATCCCAGCGGACGGGTACAACTTATTACCAACCGGACCACTTTTGAACTGGTCGAAAAACCAATCGGCACCAATTACAACCAGCCACCTTGAGCCGTGCAGCGGGGTTCGATGTGTAGAACATTGTATGAGGATTCAGAAATCAGGCGCGCGTCTTCAGGGTACACATTCGCTATTGCAGACAACATGTGTATCAATTTTGGAAGTGGTACGAGCTTACATTCTAACATATGGAAGTTGTTAAGTGGCTGCCACCCAACAAACAGGCTTCATATGCGTAAGTTGAACAAACGAGCTGTTACATAGCACATGGCAGCCCGAAGGCTTGCGTAATATGGTCTGGGTTTTGGTGGCAACTGCACATGGCATTGTCATATTTTCCCATGTGGGGATTGTATTGCGTATTTGTAATGTCTTGAGTTTCTAGTCTAAAGTACGACTGCTTATCATTAGCCAGGTGTATGAATACATCTTCTACTTTATGGAATGTATGTGGTACTATTGTTTCGTTGGTTCGTGTTTCATTTATTCATCTTTCAAGGGGATCTTGGACCATTAATGTAAATCGATTGCTTGGTTGATTGTGCATTGATTAGTTATTGCTTCACTGTTCCTGCATGGTGTCAAATGTCATTCTTTTTACCAAATAAATGTACACTAAACTGACCCGATCCAAGCAGACCGTTGAATCCTTCAATCTGCGATGTGTGTGTCCGCCGGAATTCAAAAGGACGCGGGCCGACCCCAGCCTCCAGCATAATTCTCACATGTGCTGCATGGTTCGGCTCCCAGTTGGAATTCAATGGGAAGCGCGCTGGCAGAACGCCTTAATCTTGCATGTGCTTCCCAGTCGGAATTCCATAGGACGTGTTCACCCTCCAACTGAATTGGTTGATGTGCTTATGATCCATTTGACAATATTCGAGGTGTTCTTCTCTCGGGCTTTAATCGAGCACGCTCTGATCCCAGCCTCTCTTTCGTTGGTATTTCATTTGTTCTTCAAATTCGATCTAAAAATGAAATGCGCTGATCCGAGCTTCGTGCAGTATTATCAAATATGGCATTCTTCTGCTCAGTCGAAATTTAATAGGGCACGCGTTGCCCCCAGCCTTCCGCAGAATTATGTCATATCCGATGTGTTGTTCAATCGGAATTCACTTGGGCACGCGCTGATCACAGCTTCCCGCGGAATTCCATCATATGTTGTTCGCTTCGCATTAAGAATTCAATCAGACACGCGCTGATCCTTCCCGCATAATGGTAGTATGTCTGATTTTGGCAAATAGAAATTCAAGCAGATTCGACCATCGTTGATTTGTTCGAAAGAGCGTGTTCTACCACTGCTGGCGGAAAACCGGGGGGGTCACTACCTGTTCGAACCCCCCCCCCCCTCCGGAAAACCGGGGGGGGGTCACTACCGGTTCGAACCCCTCCCCCCCCCCCCAGTTCCTCATGAAAAGGGGGGGGGTAACTGCCGGTTCGAACCCCCCCCCCCCCTCGAACTCGAAAACCGGGGGGGGTCATTACCGGTTCGAACCCCCCCCCCCCCTCGAAAACCGAGGGAGGGTGCGGACAGTGGTGGGACGGTGGTGGTGGGGACAGTGGTGAGGGGACAGCGGGACAGTGGTGGGGACAGTGGGACAGTGGTGGGGACGGTAGTGGTGGGGACAATGGTGAGGGACAGTGGAGGGTACAGTGGTGGTGGGGACAGTGGTGAAGGCGGTGGCGAGGACGGCGGTGGGACAATGGGACAGAGGTACAGTGGGGACAGTGGTGGGGACAGTGGGGACAGTGGTGGGAACAGTGGGACAGCTCAGTGGGACAGCGGAGGAGTCAGTGGGACAGTGGGGACAGGGGATAGTCGGGCAGTGGTTGGGGCCGTGGAGAAAGTTGGGAGAGTGGAGCCGTGGTGGGAACAGTGGTGGGGACAGTGGGGACTGTGCGACAGTGGTGGTGGCACTGGTGGGGACAGTAGGGGCGGTGGTGGAACCAGTGGGGACAGTGGTGGTGAGGACAGTGGTGCTGGGAACAACAGTGGGGGATGTGGTGAGGACGGTGGTAGGGACCGGGAGTCGTTTGCTGGCGGTGAGGGGGGGGTGGGGAGGGGTTCGAACCGGTAGTGACCCCCCCTCCGGTTTTGGGGGGGGGGAGGGGTTCGAACCGGTAGTGACCCCCTCGGTTTTCGAGGGGGAGGGGGGGGGGGGGGGAACGGGTTAGGGGAGGGGGGGTTTTGCCGGGGGAGAGGGGGGGGGGGGAGGGGGGGGGGGGGTCCAGCAGGGGGGGGGGGGATTTTCGGAGGGGGAGGGGACCCCCGGGTTCCGGAGGAAAAGGGCGGCAACGGTCCACAGGAAAGCGGCGGTGGATCACGCTCTCTCATTTGTGCAGACACGCGCTGATCCCAGTTTCTCGGAGGAAGGAGAAGCGATACCAACACCACCAGGGGGCCCACCTCCAGCGAGGAGGTCCACGATGCCTCCCCGAGCTGGATGCTGGGGGTGTCTCGAGCGAGAGGGGGGGCCACACCACCAGGGAGACTCCCATTGCCTCCTCGCACCTCCTCGCCCTGCTGGTGTTGGTGTCGCCTTTCCTTGTTCCCAGTTTCATTCAGAACCCTGTGATGTGGTATCTTTTTTATTTGGGATCCCCGAGGAAACGCTCTGACCTCAGCGAGCCGCAGAATTCTATCATACTGCGTTCGTTTGTTCACTTTGAACTTGATAAGGCAACGCGCTGACCCCAGCCTCCCGCAACATCATTTGATATTCGATGGTTCTCCAAGCGAAATCGATGGGATATGCGCCGGCCCCAATCTGCCGCATGATTATGTTGTGCGCGATGCGTATTTCAATACAACTTCATTAGGAAACGCGCTGACGCCAGCCTCCCGCAGAATGCTTTGATCTTCTATTTGTTTTCTGACATGACTTGACTCGGAAATCCGCTGGTGCCATAATCCTGAAGAATGCTATACCGTGTCGTGCGTTTGTCTGAATATTCAGTCGAAAGGAACTGCGGTGATCCTCAAAGTCCCATCCGAATTCTTTGGCTATCCAAGCAGAGCTTGCATTTCGGGGTTCTGATTCCTTTTCGAAGGAACTGGGCCGGTGTGGCGGTCTAGCAGCTATTTTGTCACCGTCGCCGCCCCGTCGTTGCCTCGTCGCCGCCCGACCTCTGGGCCTGTGTTGCGGTCTGGCGGCGGCTATGTTGTCGCTGTCGCCACCTTGGCGCCGCCCATCGTCTAGGCCTCTGTGCGGTCTGGCGGCTATGTTGTCGTCGTCGCCGCCCCGTCGCCGCCTCGTCGCCACCCATCGTCTGGGCTTTTGTGGCGGTCTGGCGGCTATGTTGTCGCCGTCGCCGCCTCGTCGCCGCCCATTTTCTGAACTTCTGTGGCGGTCTGGCGGCTATGTTGTCGTCGTCGCCGCCCCGTAGCCGCCACACAATTTGAACCACATAGACTGCACACCTTATTCGGCACAACTTCTATCGCACCACATAGATACATAGATTGCACCATTATTGAGTGTGCGACATATTATGCATCATACACTGCACCACATAGGTTGTACCATTTATATTGTGCCAGGAAGATTGCACAACGTAGAGAGCACCACATAATGCGCCACATGGAGTTCAACACCGATTGCACAACACATATTACCTCACCGGTATAGCACTATACAGGTTGCACGGTACATGTTGCACAAAATCGATTGCACAGCATCGGGGTCACAACGCAGATAGCACCACTCATATTGCACCACATAAGTGGCCCACGCATATTTCAAGTCGAATTTGCACCGCATAGATTGCACCACATAGGTTGCCCCACTTCTATATTCTGCACAACCTATATTGCACCTCAGGCAACCAGCACGACGACAACCAGCACGACGACAACCACCACAGCGATGACGACGACGACAGCTGTGACGTAGACAATGTGCCGCTGGATCCTACACCAGCTATCAACGAAGATGGGTATACAACAGACATCCTGGAACCTTTTGGGTATAATGAATCCAACGAGCAGCTCACAAGACAGAGGCGACCATGGCAAAATTACACATCCATGAGTGGACGACCACAGTACGTCAGCGAAAGTTGCAATGGTCACGTAAAGTCAGCAAAGCCTGTGAATTAGAGTGGATACGGCATATACTTCAATGGGCTGCACAATTGGATCCAATGTATAATGAAAGACGCAGAACGGGCAGGCCAACATCCAGATGGATTGACGACATACGACGTTATTTGTGCAACAAAATTGAGTGACGATGTAGATGTTGCGGATACTTTAAAGATTGCATCAACGAAGCACTGAGATATGTTTGGAGCTGACTATATGCAACGCACGCACATGAGAAATGAGTGAGCCGCGCGACCTGTCTGGAACCCCGGCGCTCCGGCGCCGCACCCGCAGCACCCTAGACGGTGCACATGCACAGGAGTGCTCAATATTGCACCTCAGAGACCATAGACTGCACCACGCATGTTGCAACACATCGGATGCACAACATAGACTGCGTGAGGCAGATAGCACAGCATACATCGCACCACGTAGATTGCGTCACATAGGCTACAATGTAGATACATTCATATACTTATATGTGTATGTATGTATATATATATATATATATATATATATATAGGTACTTTATCCCTGGAAGCACGTTTTGGGGGCAACGCTTGCCAAGATGCTCAAGTTGTTTTTGTGGAATGAGAGTTCAGGAAGAACCAGGGTGCTGTCCAGGTCCCCGAGGACACGGCTCGCCGCAATTTGGAACGCCACTTACGACTCGGCGGTGGCATCGGGGGTTGAGGTGACTCGTTCGGTTCCCCTCTCCCCTCCCAAGGGTTCGGGGGGCTTTCGAAAGCCCCCAGGAGCATGCAACGCCCCTACTGCAGCCGTCACCCTCGGTGGCTCGGAGAGCCCCGCGCCCGCAGGAAAGAAGGCGGGGGCCGAGCGACTCGGCGGCGGCAGCGGAGGGCAACGGGACTCGTTTGGTTATTGTCTTTTTCCTCGGGGTTCGGGGGGCCCCCCGAAGCCCCCAAGGGCACGAAACGCTTCCGTTGGAGGCGTCGCCTATCAGGGGTGGGAAAATCCCACGTCCGCACGAAAGGAGGTGGGGCCTGAACGATTCGGCGGCGGCAGCGGACGGCAAGGTGACCCGTTCGCCCCCCCCCCCGCCCAATGGATCGGGGGATCCCCAAGCCTGAAGAATGAAGAGCCCAGAAGGATCTTTGAGAATTCCTGAGGAATCTGGAGAAACCCTGAAGAATCCCTGGGCATCCCTGAGGGATCCTTAGGGGATCCTTGAGGAATTTCGGGGGAAACCGAAGAGTTGTTTAAATGATCTTGGGAAATGTCTGAGGAATCCTTGAAGAATCTCTTTGGTATCCTAGAGAAACTCTGCGGCATCCACAGGAATCTCGCGGGGAATCCTGAGCAATCTCTGAGGAAACAGGGGAAATTCTTCAGGAACCGAGGGGGACCTCTGAGGAATCCGAAGGAATCTCGTGAATAATCTTCGGGGGATTTCTGAAGAATGAACATATCCACGGAAGGTCGCGAGAAGCCCTGAGGAGTCCCACGGCATTGCCCTAAGGATTCTTGGTGATTTGTTTCGCAATCTTGAGAAACCCCAGGCAATGTCTAAGAAACTCTGAGGCATCATAGGCGATTTTTGTCGCATCCCTGAGGCATCCCGAGGATTTGTCCGGAATCTTGATGTGTCCAAGGCTTTTGGAATTGGTACACGTTTGGTTGACATTGGGTTGGGGATGGTTGGGATCCGTTCAATGCGGTTGTAAACCGTCCCATCGTTTGTTTGACCCCCTTTCCCCCCGACCGCCGCCGGCACACGAAGTCGACAATGACGACGGCAAAGGCGGCGACAACGCCAGCGTCGACATCGTACACGCCTTCGCCGTCGTCAGCGTTCGCCGTCGCAGTCGCCGTTGTCGTCATCGCCGCCTTCGTCGTCGTCGTCGGCGAGTCGGTGAGTCGCTCGGTCGGGCTAGACACATCGTCGTCGTTCGCCATCGAAGTCGCCATCGTCGTCGCCGCCGTGGGCGAGTCGGTCCGGCGGGCTAGCAAGACACAACGTCGTCGTCGTCTTCGTCGTCGCCGTCTTCGTCGTCGTTTGCCGACATTGGGGCGGCTGGGCGGGACACGTCGTCGTCGTTGCCGTGGTCCCGGTTGTCCTTATCCTCGTCCTCGTTGTCGGCGTCGTCTGCCAGCTTCAGGAGGGGGTTCGGACCCCCGTCTGGAGTTTGTGGGAAATGGGGGGTTCGAGCCGCCCCCCCACCCCCACTCCCCCAAACCCAAGACGGTCAAGGGGAGGCTTGGTTCGACCCCCCCCGACTTTCACTTGTCGAGAAAAATGCTTCTCCCCCTCGGGACCTTCAGGGGGGTCGTACCCCACCCTCCCTGACTTCCATCCTTCTTGCGTGCTAATAGGATATCCTTTTTGTATGGCATGGATTCATTCCCCATTTCTCATTCAATTCTTCATGCAGTTTCGCCTCTTACTTGCCCTCGCCCCCCATGTCTTCCCAGGCCGTAGGAGCCGCGATTCGCCAGGATCACGAACAGGCCTGGGGTGAGGAGGGGGTGGCGGCCATCGAATGCGATCGAGAAGGTGGGGCAGATCCGGGTGTGTCACATTGAGTATTCCAGCATCGCGGCTGGCCATCACCCCCAGCATTGCGCCGCAAGGCCGGGCCCCTTTGACTATCCAGACCCAGCGCTCACCTGGGGGCTGAGGCGTGCCGCCCGCGCCCGTCTGAGAGCCCTCCGCCACGTCCTGACTTCCCCCCACTCGTCCTGCTGCTTCTGCTCTCCCCCATGAGACTATTTCTGCATCGTTCCTCCTCTTGCCCTCTTGCCCCTCCTGCTCTTCATCCTCTTCATCATCCTGATCATATTCCTGCTGCCCCTCATCATCAACCGTCCCTTAACTCAAACTCTTCGTCCTCATTACGCATCTCCTCCATTTCGCCCTCATCTTCCTCCTCATCCTCCCCACCCTCCCCTCTGTCATCCTCCCTCCCCCCTTCCCTTCTCCTTCTCCCTCTGATTCACATGGCAGAGCGATGAGCGACCTCCATCTCTGTGCCTTTGAGATGCCCCCCCTTTTGCACCACTAGACGCATTTCCATGCTGGCCTGGGCGTTTCGCTTGTGATTTCTTGCCGACTTACCATGTGTACGATCGAATACTCCAACGGTTACAAGAATGTCGACTTGATGTTTGTCGCAACGCGGCCCCTTTGTACATTCGTATTCAGAGTTGCAAAATCTACAATTCTGGAGGTGGGCTTGTTTTCAAAAGATGGTTTCCGCTTTTCGCGCCGCACAAGCACATCAACGCGGATGCAGTGGGTGGTTTTCAGAATGCGGCCCTCGCTTTAGCACCGTGCATATTCGTTGTCACAGAGTACAACATCTACACGGATGGAGGCCAGCTCGTTTGTTTTAACGCTTCGTTCTCGCTTGAGATGTCCCCGAAGTCTACTTCCTGAAGTTCCGAATCTCACAGCACTTCCACGGATGACGGGCGGAGCAGGGTGGCCAGGGCGCTGCGACTGTGCAACCGCTCCACGGATGGAGGGCTGCAGAGCGGGCCTGTTGGTGGACACTCCGCTAGAGGAGGAGGAGGAGGAGGAGGAGGAGGAGGAGGAGGAGGCGGCGAAAGAGGGGGAGGAGGGGGAGGAGGAGGGGGAGGAGATGGAGGAGGAGGAGGGGGAGGAGGGGGTGCTGCTGATCACACCTCTTTGCGCTTCTTTTGGCTAGAAGGGTGGAGGGTGGATCTTCTACTAAACGGCATCATCTCGCCTTTTGGTGGACGTTCCGTGCATTTTGCTTCCGATTCCCGCTTGTTTGCGCCTCTTCTGGCTAGAAGGACGGAGGGTGGATCCAAACTCTTTGCGCTTCTTGCAGCTAGAGGTGATGATCCTGCTTTCCACCACCACCACCGCCACCACCACCAGAAAGTTGGATGGGGAAGGAGGAGGAGGAGGAGGAGGAGGAGGAGGAGGACCCCCTCCAACTTACGGTGGTGGTGGTGGTGGGAAACACGCCCATCAAGAAGCGTGGAGGGTGGATCCTCTACGACACGGCATCGTCTCGCCCGCGTGGCGGCAGGCCCACCGGGCGCTCGTCGTTCCCGGGGGAGGGGGGGGGGGGGGGGCGCCCCGCGGGGGGGAAAAGTGCCCCCCACGGACCCCTTGAGGAGGGAGCTCTGGACGGGGAGGGAGTAGTGCAGCATGGTCGCTGCAACCTGTGCTCACTCTGGTCCTCTTCCTCCTCCTCCTCCTCCTCCTCCTCCACCTCCTCCTCTTCGTACTTCTTCTTCGCACCCCCACCCCCTCTCGCCCTCCTCCCCCTGCTCCTTCTCATTCTCCCCCTCTCTTCATATTTCCTCTAACCCTTTCCTCCTGCTCCTCCTCCTCATCCTCCTCCTCCTCCTCCTCCTCCTCCTCCTCCTCCTCCTCGTCCTCCTCTCATTCGTCCTTCTCGTCCTCATCCTCTCCCTCCTCCCTTGTCTTTGAACTCGTCCTCATCCTCCATCCTCGTCCTTCTCCTCGCCCCCCCCCTATCATCCTCCTGTGTCCGCTGTCCATTCCTCCTTCTGGCCCCCCTCCCCCTCTGCCCTCCCTCCTCGGGCCCCAGGCAGCCCCCTGTACGGGCTCGTGAACGACCTGTGCGCAGGCCGCGTGCTCCCGGCCGAGTCGCTGCCGCCGCTGGAGGTGCAGGGCGGGGGGGCCCCTCGCAAACGGCCTGCAGGGAGGGCCCCGCGGCCGGGGGCCCGCGACGACGGCCGCGCGCGGCACGCCACAGCACGGCCACCGGGCACTGTGCTCGGTGCCCAGACCTCCAGTGGCTCGGCCTTCTCGTCGCCGGATTGCAACGAAGGATTGCAAAAAGGTGTTTTGTTTGCAATCCTTCGGTTTTTTGCAATCCTTCGGGTTTTTTTTGCAGTGCCTCCTCGGTCTCAATCCCTGGGCACAGTTTGCGGGCTGCGTGCTGTCAGAACTTGAGCAGGGGCGTCAGTTCGCCTGCAGGGAGGTGGTCGGAGGCCCCATGGGGCCGCAGCTCGAAAGATCACACCGGCGGATGCCTTGGCACATGGTCGCCTCCAGCGCCTCGAGCATCGCCATGAAGGAACGGAGTCCTGAGGGAAACGGGTCCTAGACCTCTCGTAAGGCTGAGAGTCAGAGAGCGCCCTCCTTTGCAGGACCACCGGAAAAAGGACGTGAAGGGGGTGCATCAAGGGGGGGCACCAAGGGAGTGCATCAAGTGGGGCGGTTGAAGCGCGCAGTTAAAGCGCGCAGAGTGGCTGCACCCCTTGACGCCCGTTCCTGGGCCCTACACACCCCTTCGACCCTCCACAACCCAGGCCCCAAGGCTTTCCGCATGGCCAGGTCCTCATCCCGAGCCTTTTTGAACTGACGCTCCGCCGGGGCCCGGGGAGGGCCGCAGGAGCCCGGAGACGACGAGAGAATTCCAGAGCACGTCTCCTCCAGGGCCCGCTTCCTCTGTGCCAACTGCGGCCGGTCCGCGCACCCGCCTGTGATACCCTCCCCCTCTCGTCCCGCCGGAGCCATCGCGGCTTCCCGGGCGGGCGGCCGGGCGCTTGCCTCGGCGCAGGGTCGCCTCTGACGCCCCGAGGCGCCTCTGACGCCTCGAGGCGTCTCTGACGCCGCGAGGCGCCTCGACGCTCCAATTTTGGTTGGTGCGTGGGCCATCGAGGTCCGGACCACTTCCCCGGGACCGTTTTTCCATTCCGAATCGTTGTTCAACGCTCCCGAGGCCCGGCGAGGGCCCCCACGGGCCGAGAGCTGCCGAAAACCGCCTGCTCAATTTTTTTGTGGGGGCGTCGGACCTCAGGGGCTGCATGCAGCCGGCCGATGCGCAGCCCGCCCCTTTGTCACCCCCGCCCTCCCGCTGGTTTACGCCCGAGCCGTCGCGGCTCGAGGTTCTTTCGGCCTTGGAGGAGGACGAGCGGAGGGCACTCTTGGTGAAGCTCGGCCTCCCGCCCGAGAAGTCGGCCGTATCGTGAGCTGACTGTCTGGCCTGATATGTAAATCTTCTGCCCTGGACTTCAGTCCCAGGCATCTCTTGCCCCTGGAGCCTGTTCTGATGAGCGCGTTTTCCATCACCACCACCATAAGTTGGATGGGGCGAAGGGGGAGGAGGAGGAGGAGGAGGAGGAGGAGGAGGAGGAGGAGGAGGAGGAGGACCCCCCCCTCCAACTTATGGTGGTGGTGGTGGAAAACACGCTCATCATGTTCGTCAGCGGTGCACTGTAAAAGACTCCCTGGGCAGAGGGGCTCCCCGAGGGGGGGCCTCCGAGGGTCGAGGCTCGTGGTTTGCCGGGGGCGGCCACGAGTGACGACTCGGGTCAAGTCGGGCCTGTCCCTCTACAGGAGGGAAATTCAAAAATAGTCCAAAAACAATGTGTGGACGATGTGTGGACTATTTTTGCGCATTCTTTTTATTTTTGTTCTTGTATGTTTGATCTTTCATCCCCAATCCCCCTGTGGGAGGGCAGGCCTGACCTAAGACTAGGGGGGGATGGATGTCATGGCGAGGGCCATGATATCTCCCCAGATTTCACGGCGCCTCTTCTTGTTTGAATACGTCCCCGGCACCCCCCCTGGGCCGCGCCCATGCCTCTGGCCATGACTTGCGACCCCCCGCCTCTTGGACGCCCCCCTCTTGGTCGCCTTCGAGTCTGGTGGAGCGCTTGCGGGCATCCCTGAAGAGTTTACCTATGCACTTTCCTGGACCTGCAGGGGACAGGGTCAATTTCGGTCCGATCGGTCCGATTCGATATCGATTCGGGCCTGCCCGATCCGTCTCGTTGCCGAAATTCCGACGACTCGACCTGGCCCGATGCTCGCCTGGCATCGCTGCACATCCGAGCGCAGCCGATCCGATCCGACGTCGACTTCGACTCCGTTCCGGCGCAGCCCGATTCGGTGCTCGCTCCGATCCAATTCGATGCCGCTTGGCCCTGCCTTCTGGGGAGTTCCCGGCGACCTCGCGGGCGCTCCAGGAAGGGCCCCGCCTTGGAGGACCATCGAAGGATCGAGGATCGAAGGACTCAGCCTTTGATCGAGGATCGAGGAAGGAGGAAGGATCGAGGATCGAGGATCGAAGGATCGAGGATCGAGGATCCAGGAAGGGCCCCGCCCTGGAGGATCGAAGGACTCAGCATATCCCTACCTCGGCGGACGGCCGGCGGGAGGCGCCAGAGGCAGAAGCAACAGACGCCCCCCTCGAGAGATGGCAGCGTTTGGGGGGCAGGGTTCCCTCCTCCTCCTCCTCCTCCTCCTCCTCCTCCTCCTCCTCCTCATCCTCCTCCTCCTCCTCCTCCTCCTCCTCCTCCTCCTCCTCCTCCTCCTCATGGTTCAGAGCCCCGCATCATGGTTCAGAGCCCCGCATCATCAGGGGTAACTCGGGTCAGGGCTAACTCGGGCTCCTTTCTCGGGAATCCAAGCCCGAGTTACCCCGGACCCGAGTTACCCCGGATAACTCGGGCGTCCTGAGCCCCGCATCATCAGGGGCAACTCGGGTCAGGGCTAACTCGGGTTCGTTTCTCGGGAATCCAAGCCCGAGTTACCCCAGACCCGAGTTACCCCGGATAACTCGGGCGTCCTGAGCCCCGCATCATCAGGGGTAACTCGGGTCAGGGCTAACTCGGGTTCCTTTCTCGGGAATCCAAACCCGAGTTACCCCGGACCCGAGTTACCCCGGATAACTCGGGCGTCCTCGCCCCGAACCATCAGGGGTAACTCGGGTCAGGGCTAACTCGGGTTCCTTTCTCGGGAATCCAAGCCCGAGTTACCCCGGACCCGAGTTACCCCGGATAACTCGGGCGTCCTGAGCCCCGCATCATCAGGGGTAACTCGGGTCAGGGATAACTCGGGTTCGTTTTTCGGGAATCCAAACCCGAGTTACCCCGGACCCGAGTTACCCCGGATAACTCGGGCGTCCAGAGCCCCGAATCATCAGGGGTAACTCGGGTCAGGGCTAACTCGGGTTCCTTTTTCGGGAATCCAAACCCGAGTTACCCCGGCCCTCGGGAATCCAAACCCGAGTTACCCCGGACCCGAGTTACCCCGGATAACTCGGGCGTCCAGAGCCCCGCATCATCAGGGGTAACTCGGGTCAGGGCTAACTCGGGTTCCTTTTCGGGAATCCACCCGAGACCCGAGTTACCCCGTATAACTCAGGGCGGGCATCATCAGGGGTAACTCGGGTCAGGGCTAACTCGGGTTCTTCGGAATCCAAACCCGGGAATCCAAAACCGCGTTACCCCGGACCCGAGTTAAACCCCGGTATACTGGCGTCCTGAGCCCCGAATCATCAGGGGTAACTCGGGTCAGGGATAACTCGGGCTCCTTTTTCGGGAATCCAAGCCCGAGTTACCCCGGACCCGAGTTGCCCCAGATAACTCGGGCGTCCAGAGCCCCACATCATCAGGGGTAACTCGGGTCAGGGCTAACTCGGGTTCCTTTCTCGGGAATCCAAGCCCGAGTTACCCCGGACCCGAGTTACCCCGGATAACTCGGGCGTCTGAGCCCCGACCATCAAGGGTACCTCGGGTCAGGGCTAACTCGGGTTCCTTTCTCGGGAATCCCAACCCCGAGTTTTACCCCGGACCCGAGTTACCCCGGATAACTCGGGCGTCCTGAGCCCCGCATCATCAGGGGTAACTCGGGTCAGGGCTAACTCGGGTTCCTTTCTCGGGAATCCAAACCCGAGTTACCCCGGACCCGAGTTACCCCGGATAACTCGGGCGCTCGGGTCAGGGCCAACTCGGGTTCCTTTCTCGGGAATCCAAGCCCGAGTTACCCCGGACCCGAGCTACCCCGGATAACTCTGGCGTCCTGAGCCCCGAACCATCAGGGGTAACTCGGGTCAGGGATAACTCGGGTTCCTTTTTCGGGAATCCAAGCCCGAGTTACCCCGGACCCGAGTTACGCTGGATAACTCTGGCGTCCTGAGCCCCGAACCATCAGGGGTAACTCGGGTCAGGGATAACTCGGGTTCCTTTCTCGGGAATCCAAACCCGAGTTACCCTGGACCCGAGTTACCCCGGATAACTCGGGCGTGTAACTCGGGCGTCCTGAGCCCCGAACCATCAGGGGTAACTCGGGTCAGGGCTAACTCGGGTTCCTTTCAGGAGGGAAAGAAACACACAGACACAATTAATCGTCGATCCCCAGGAAAATATGCGAAAATATGGGAAGTGGTGGGGAAGACAAAAAAACAGAAAATATGGGGAAATGTAGGGGATATTTTTATTTGTGTGTATTTATTTGTGTGTTTGTGGGCCCCTTCATCCTTTCTCGGGAATCCAAACCCGACTTACCCCGGACCCGAGTGACCCCGGAGATCTCGGGCGCCCTTCCTCGGCGGACGGCCGGCGGAGGGCGCCAGAAGCAGAAGCAACAAACGCCCCCCTCGAGAGATGGCAGCGTTTGGGGGGCAGGGTTCCCTCCTCCTCCTCCTCCTCCTCCTCCTCCTCCTCCTCCGCCTCCTCCTCCTCCTCCTCCTCCGAACCCGCCGGAGACTCCCGGGGACCTCCGAGCACCCTGCCCCAGCTCTGCTGCCACGGCGGCGGCGGCCCCTCTGCGGGGATCCTGGGCCGCCGCCGCCCGGCAGGAGGCGGCGGCCTCCGACAGACGTCAGGAGCGAAAAAAGGACGGACATGTACAGTCGGACCGAGGTGTAAGATCGAGGTCGGTTCGGGAAGGGTACCCTAGCGTTCTTCGTGTTTGTTGGATGTTCTTGCGCATCCTGGGGAGGGCACCCTTGGACGTTCTGTCTGTTTTGGCCGACGGAGGGTTTCATGCTCTTCAGGGATGTTCTTCTGGCCTAGGTCGGACAGTACATGAATCTACGCTGGTTTCGAGAGTTCGCATTGCGCAAATGGTCGTATCATGCGGCCGGTCTCGCGGATCGAAGGGCCGTGTTCATGTACATAGCTGGGCGCGTACGTCCTTTGTGGGCTCCCCAAGACGGACGAGTGCGTTCGTTTCGCCGCCTGTTCTGTCGTGCGCGAGCGCGCTTGCCGTCGTCGTCGTCGATGTCGTCGCCGCTGCCGCCGCCGCCGCCGCTGTCGTCGTCGTCATCGGTGTCGTCGAAGTCGTCCTCGATGTCGTCGTCGTTGTTCGAGGTACGCAGTTCGAGGATCGAGATTCTCTGGGCGGTCTTGGCCCCATGGACCATCTGGAGCGGAGGCCTCCGGAGGCCTCCGAGGACTTCAGAGACCACCTGCAGACCCTCCCCGTGCTCTCGGGGGCGTTCGGAAAGCCCCGCCTCGAAAGAAGCCTGGCCTCGTGGCTTCCTCATTTGGGGCCCGCCGGAGGCTCAAGGCATCCTAGATGGGGTCGGGGTAGATGGGGTCGGAGGGTCGCGCCGCATCGCCGATGCATCGCCGATGCGGCTCGGTGTGGGGCCCTGTTTGCTTCACATCGACGTCGCCGATGCATCGCCGATGTCGACGATGCGTCGCTGGTGCGTCGCCGGTGCATCGCCGATGCGTCGCCGATGCGTCGCCGATGCGTCGCGATCTTCCGACCCCATCTGCTCGGACCCCATCTAGGAGGCCTCTAGAGGTGTACTGGCACAGGGGCGCGTGGCGGTCCCTGTCGAATCGGCGCCTCTGGGCGCTCAAGGCGTTCATGGGGCTCACGGGGACGGCGCACCTGATGGTGCGCGTGCGGAGGTCCACCGTGTCGCCCGCCACCTTCGCGGCGAAGAACTCCACGGAGAGCGACGGCCAGGTGGTGGAGGTCTGTTCGGATTCAGAGCCCCGCAGGGTGGATGAGCACGCCCTTATCTTCCTCTCTCCTCTGGGGTAATTACATGTGGCTCCTCCTCCTCCTCCTCCCCCTCCTTTTTCTCCTTCCCCTCCTCCTCCTCCTTCTCCTTCTTCTCCTCCTCCGACTCCGACTCCTACTCCTACTCCTACTCCTACTTCTACTCCTGCTCCCACTCCTACTACTACTCCTGCTCCTACTTTCACTCCCTCCTTCCCCTTCCTCGTCCTCCCTCCTCCTTCATCTCCCTCCTCCTCTTCCTCCACCGCCGCTTCCCTCCGTATATCAACTTGTTTCTGGTGCCAGGCGTGGGTTAGATAGTTGTTTCAGACGTGTTCTGCCCACTCGCCATCCTGCACCTCCCCCTCTGCGCTGCGACGTGAGACTTGCACCTCCTGGGCGCCTCCATCTCGACGCTGCGCGCCACGTGGCCCAAGCTGCTGGCAGGCCGCTCCAGGGCCACTCGTCTGCGGCTTTCGCGCCCGCACGGGCTCGCAGCGGAGGGCGGCGGGTGCGGGAGTGGGGCGCCGCGCCACGGGCTGGCCGAGAAGGTCTCGGGACGAGAGCGTGGACGCAGCACCTGGCGCGCCTGAACGACGAGCATGCGCACTGCTCGGCGGGGGCAGCTTCCCCGACAGCAGCCCCGCCGTGGATGAGAGCCGCGCGCCCCAGAGGCCGGACAGAGCATGGGGAAGAGAGGCCCGGCTTGCGCTCCGAGCGTCGCCGGCTTCCCGCGAGAGCGGCAAGCCAGCCGGCGTGCACAACCAGGAGACCGGATGGCCACAGAGCGCAGGGAATCTCGGCGGGCGGGCTCGCAGGGCCTGCGGCGGCCGCGGCCGCGCTCCGCTGCTCGGGGAGGACGACAAGGGGGGAGGGGGTGGTGGGCGCAGGCACGGCGGAGCTCCACGAGCTCTCGCCGTCGTGCCGCCGTCTGCCCCCTCCAGTCCCGTAAGACGGGGTGGGCGGCCAGCAGGGGGGCCAGCGTCGAAGACACGGGCGAAAGCGAGGGAGCCGACCGACGGATCACACCCACAAGCCGCCAGCCGAGCGACCGGTAAGTGCAGCGCTTGGCCTCCCTCCGGAGTCGGAGCACAAGCATACCGGAAGAATTGAGCACACACAGAGAAGGTGGAACTAAATCGGGAGGCCTTCTGGAGTCGATGTCGCCTGGGATCCGCTCGGACGATGTGCCCTCCCCGTTTCCCGACAGCGAGATCAGGTGCTGGAGCGCAAACATGATCCGCATGCGGAATATAGAAATGTTTGAAATCAGTTACCAGTTCCGGAATATCATATGGGCTATGGTCGTCATTACGCACATCTGCATATATCCGAGCGATGGAGGCGGCAATGGATGACGCCAGGCGGGCACACATTGCAGCTGGATGTATTTTCTTCGCATCCGTGTTGAAAACGGTACCTTTCCCATGCGGATCTTGTGGGTTCCTGTTGGGCGGTGGCACGAACTTGTCCGCGACCGATCTGTAAGGCGAGACGCGAGGCCGTCCGCAATCACAGCAGTCGAGTGGGCGCACGCCCGTACTCTGCTGGGTCGCGCTCCTGCGGCTGCAGCGCACACTGGTCAAAGTCGGCGGCGACGACGACAGGCGACCTATCCAATGGCTCCCATCGAAAGCCTGGGGCCTCCAGTGGGCCGGTAGCGGGCGATCCATCCACCCCGAAGCCCCACGGCCAGATGGCATCCCAAGAGATGCACCAAGTGCTGGAGTAATGCGCCCAGTACGTGTAGCTGTGAGGCCTGGCGGTCGGTAGCTCACGGGACGCCCCAATACCAGTCGTGCGTGCGTAACGGGGAGGGGGCCATCCAGCCATGTCGCGGCGCTCCAGGTCTCGTAGGGCCCCTCCCCGTGTGTTCCAAGCCCGTCTCGACAGGATACGATTCCCCCACTGTTGTATAGCATCCGTGCGCACAAGATCCCCCATGTCCCGATCCATGGCAATGTCGACACACAGCAGAGCTGTGTGGTAGTGGGGACGGAGGTGCTCGCCATCTATCCAAGATTGCGTGACACCTGCCCGTCGTCGGCCCGAAAACAGGTTGAGCACGGATAGTTCCTTCCGATGCATCTTGCATGGCACCCACTCCGCAGCACAAGAATTGAAAACGTGGGTCATAGAGCGGAAGTGTCGGTCGGCGAAGGAACGCTGGTTCTGGACGGCGGGGTCTGGAGGGCCTTCGAACAACGCCTGATATGCTGGGGGTCTCTGGAGCCAACTCGCATGCACGTTCCCGAAGAAGCGCGCGGGCCTCTGCTTCGCTGAGAAGGGCTGGGGCGAGCACCGCTGAGGGGTAGAGGCCATCTTCAGGACGCTGCCCCGATGCAGGGGAAGCCGCACGCCGTCTCCCCAGTCCTGCGCGTCTCTGCGCACCCTGCTGGCGGGCATCCGCTGTGTGCACTCCTGCTTTCTCTGCTGGCGGCGCAGCCCCGAACATCAACGGCATCGAAGGCCAATTGATCGTTCAAAAGCCGGCAAGATGAGAAGGAGGTGGAGCACACCCCATGAAGCGAGTAGTGCGCGCGCACGAGATGCTGTCGTGTACCCTTGGCCGCACGGCTTACATATGAGCACCACGTACGTCGGAGCTCCATCTTTTGTACCTTGGGAGGGTAGATGGGATGACTGGCGTCGGTGATAGGCACAGGCATTCCTCCCGGACGCACCAGCTCGAAAAAGGCCGTCTGCGCCTGCTGAGCAAGAGCGGCTCGGGCGGTAGCTTTGGAATGCACCGATGGTGTCTCCCTGCCGGGTCTAGAATGTGCTTGTGGTTGGAAAGTTCTGGTTCCTTTCTTCTTTTGTTCTCTCTTCTCCGCCAGAGCTGTTCGATCGCTCGCGCAAATCCGACTCAACTAGGAGGGGTCGCCGCTGTTTGACCCCAGCGTCGACGCCGATCTATGTATCGTATGACGAGCAGAAACCCCGCAACCTATATCTGATTGCCGCCATGCTTTCTCTCGTACAGCTTCCAAACCCCGCGGGTTTAGTTCGTTATCCTCCTTGTTCTCATCATCAACATCAACATCGTCCCCCTTCCTGATCATGTTTCGCACTTTTCTCATGTGTGTCCGCCTCTCTCATTCCTCTTGTTTCATGTTCATGCAATTCCTTCGTGATCCTCCCTCGTCATCCCCCGCCCCGTTCATCTTCAGTGCTCACTCCGACGAGCGAGCCGTGGGGGGAGTCGGGCTGTGCGCTCCTCGTGGGTGCGCCGATCAGCGCCGGAGACCCCGGCAGCAGGTGACGGGCAACGAAGCGGCGCTGCAGGAGTCCTACGGGAGGAGGCGGTTTTGCAGACACTTCCTATCGGAAGCCGGCAGGCATACGCCGCCACCAAGTTTGGCACGATGATGCTCACAACGCATGTTCGCCCACCGTGCCGTTACCCAGTTGAGCTCCACCGGCAGCCATTGCCAGCCCTCGTTGCACTGCCTGCGCCGTCTTGAAGGTCCTCGGTAAACGAGCACACGTTGGTGGCAGTACACGTTATGAGGATCATCGATTGGTGCGGCCCCCAGATGTCCGACGGACTGATTCCTAATCCGTGGGCCGCGCGCTGGACCATTTCCTCGGGCACAGTCCCAAACATTAGGCTGCTCCACTAGTTTCGATGCGTGGGCCCCGGAGGTCCAGACCGCTTCCCTAGGGCGCGTTTTTCGTCCCGAGTCGCGTTTGTCATTCTCCTAAGGCCCAGCGAGGGCCCCCAGAGGCCGAACACGGCCCCAAACCCCCCCTCTTCCTCCTCCTCCTCCTCCTCCTCCTCCTCCTCCTCCTCCTCCTCCTCCTCCAGTTTTTCTGGAGCGTCGGACCTCTGACTTTTTCCCTCCTGTCGACGGGCCCCTGCTGGCCCCGAGGCCCGAGAGAGCCCCCAGGAGACCGACGACCTCCCGAAAAGACACCCGCGGGGCCCCCTCCTGCACCCCGTGCAGATGCGTGGGCCCGGGCGGCATGCCGGCCCAGAGGAGGCCCTGCGCACCAGTCCTGGAGGCCCAGAGGGGGGCCCTCTGGATCAAGGTCGAGGGCAGGAGGGGACAGGCAGAGGATTCAGTCGGGCACGTCCCTCTACAGGGGGAGTGCTCAGAAATTGTCAAAACGTGGTCTGGGGAGGATTTTCTCCAAATAGGCTTGCCCTACAGGAGTTCGAACTCAAACCCTACTAATTGGTATGTTGCCCCCCCCCCCCCCGATTCCTATGCACCCCCTAATTCCTATGGCTATGCCTATGCCTATGCTTATGCCTCCCCCTAACTTCTATGCCTACGCCTATGCCTATGCCCATGCCTATGCACCACCGCTGAACGCTCCTACGCCTATGCCTATTATCCAAATAGACTTGCCCTATAGGGGGGGATAGGCATAGGTCAAGCAGTGGCGAAGCGTCCTGGCGTGCTTATAGGCCTACCAAGCAATGTTCTAAGCACCTCTTGTGGTTTCAACGAGATGTTCTCAGAACCTTTCTGGCTGGGACTGTCCCGTTTACCACATTGGGCTTATGTTCTAAGAACATTGCTTTTGTTCTAAGAACAGGTTGGGGTTCGAAGCAAATTTTGTGGTAGGCCGATAGGAATGCTGGGACGGTCGGCCTTGCTTAACGATAGGGGGGGATAGGCATAGGTTTGAGTCGGGCATGTCCCTCTACAGGGGGGATATTCACAAATTGTCAAAACATAGTCTGGGGACGATTGTTCTACTATGTTTGATTGTGTTTGAATCTGTTTGGGCGATTGATCATTTTTCTTTCAACATCCGCCTGTAAGAGGGCATGCCCGATCTAAGCGCATGGGGGGGCGCATCAACCCCCAGTCGCCCATTGATCGCCGATGGGGGCCCCGTAGCCCCAAGCTGCTATCGGGGACCCAGCGCCGAACTTTCGGCGATGAAGGGGGAAGAAATACACAGACACAACTAATCGTCGACCCCCAGGACTTTGGAATTCAGAGACCAGTTTTTAATTCGAAAGCCTGTTTCTGGAATTCAGAAACCAGCTTCCGTCCTGAAGCTTTTGGCGGACGGGCCCACGGGGCCCGTGGAGGGCCCCGTGTGGGCCTGGAAGCGCGAGGTCCACACCTCAGACCGGCCCCTCGCCGGAGAGGCCTCTGGCGCGCGGCTTGCGGAGAGCGCCGGGAGGCCAAGCCCAGGCACGCAGGCCGCTACGGTCGCACCGCAGGCAACGAAGTGGCAAGCCGCCCGTCAAAAGGTAACCCTCGCCTGGGGTCACACTTCGAGTGCGAGATCGACTACAGAATCGATCTACCCCCAACTTGAAATGCTCGTCGAATCTGCTACGAATACGTACACAGCCGGTCTATCCACGAACATTCGACGTATCCTTTGCTGGCTCAATGAAAAAAACAGTCCGGGGATAAATGAATTCTGTAGTCGGCCTCCTACTTGGACACTTACGTCTAACCGAACGCGGCAAAACCCCCAGGGCCCCTCTCCTGCAGGGCCCGTCTCGTGAATGCCGAGCGGTGGTGGCGCGCCTCTGCCGGCCTCCTTGCATCGGGGTCGTGCGCCCACGGCGAGCACTGCATGTTCGTGCACGACGCGGCCTTCGCGAGCGACGCGGAGCTCGCCACGGCTGCTCTCGGCAGGGCCGGCGGGGCGCCGCTCGGGCCTCCCTCCTCCGCCTCGACGCGCATCCCGACGAGGGCCACCGCGCTCGCCCGCGCCGCGCTGAGGCGGGGGGGCCCCGGTCGGACGACTGGAGGGGATTGAGGAGGAGGAGGAGCAGGAGGAGGAGGAGGAGGAGGAAGAGGAGGAGGCGGGGGGGGGGAGGAGGAGGGGAAGAGGAGGAGGAGGAGGAGGAGGAGGAGGAGAGGAGGAGGAGGAGGAGGAGAAGGAGGAGAGGAGGGGAGGAGGAGGGAGAGGAGGAGGAGGAGGAGGAGGAGGAGGGGAGGAGAGTGAGGAGGGGTTGGGAAGAGAGGGGGTGGAGGAGGAAAAGGAGCGGGACTTTGAGGAGGAAGGAGGAGGACGGAGGAAGGACGGATGACCGAGGACGAGGAGGAGGAGGAGGAGGAGGAGGAGGAGGAGGAGGAGGAGGAGGACGAGGAGGAGGCGGAGGAGCAGGAGGGAGGAGAGAGGGGGGAGGAGGATACGGCACCAGCTGGCGGACGCCGCGCTCCAAGTTTGGCGCCAGGCGCGCTCGGGAGAGGGAGCAGTCACGCGTGACCGCTCCATGCCTGCCAGCCGCCACGCCCCCACCCGAGGATCGCGGGGCGAGGCGCAAGCAGAAATTACAGGGAAAGGGAGATAGAGAGAGAGAGAGAGGGAGCAGGCAAGGTGCGGTCAGGGAAGGTGCACACCTCCTGCGCTGCTCTCCTCTTCGGTCCCACGGCTGTGGCCCTGCAAGAGCCTGACCCAGCGGGCCTCGGGGTCCGAGCCCAAGAGGGGCCGAGGGTTCGAGATGCTCCGAGAATCCGCTCGCCCTGCACCCGCCGGACGGGTCCCGGCCAAAAGCTGGCGACGATTCCTTTGTACCCTCTCAGAGAGGCGATGGCCAGCAGCGCCAGAGGAGCAGTCTGAGAGCATGAGCCCTGCCGTGCCCATGGTGCAGAAGCCGCACGAAACGCACAACACAGCGTGGGACGCGGCCACCCAGAGCCGATGGGCCCTGGCAGACTCCGAGGGGACGGGCCCGTGGGAGGGGGGCAATGGCAGGCACCGTGCAGGCGCCAAGGGCGGGTCTGTAGTTCCCGCCTTTGCTGCCCAGCCGGCGACGCTTGTCGGGCCTGAACGCAGGGCCTTCGCCATCTGGTATCACGATGGCTGAGGCGGCCCGATCAAGCAGCATCTGATCACCAGAGCACACGAGCTGGACGGGATCGAAAGATACCCTCGGGCGAGCACAACGACCACCGCCCTCAGAATCCGACGCTTCAACGTCCCACGAGTGGCGAAGACGACGAGTCGCACGGCGTCGGGGGGGGAGGGAGGAGCAGCATGCAGGCTATCGGTGCTTCTCTCAGCCTGGGCAGCCTCCATCCCAAGGCCACCCGCTCCGCTGCTATCTCCCAAGCCGTCCCAGGCAAGCGCATCCGTCGGCGATCTCCCCTCTCGAGCCGAGGGGCCAGCTCTTCCAGAAGACCTGAGAGGGTCGTCGTGGGAGGTGCCACGCGGGACTCCAGGATTGGAGCCGCCCCCCACCAACCCAGGAAGCTGCACAGACACGAGTGCAGGCGTACTCTCCGACGCCCGAAAGCGAGCAGGGCGGGAGCGAAGGGAAAGCCTGTAAGCCTGGGCGGTGGTCTTGGCTCCTACTTAAAAATTGCACCGTTTAATAATCTTACGAGGTTTGGGGCACACAGCGTGCCGTAGTGTTACAAAATCTGCTGCATGCAGCTGGTTTCGGCCCTGCCGCTGAGCGATGTTGCGGATACGTGGGCGATCCTGGCGCTGGAAAGACGAGCTACGTGCAGCTGATTCGCTAAGCCTCCCCTTTGCTATCCCCCCTTGCGTCCGCCCCGACGGGTCCGGAGTCTGCGAGCTGCCCGCTTCAGGGGGAGGACCCGTCGGACTTCTTGGCCTTCGGAGGCGACTCTTGGGGGCCTCTTTGGCAGTCGTGGGTTTCTCTTTGGACGATTTGGGGCCGTCGTGGAGGTCCGTAGGGCCATCTTCGGCCCCTCGTGGGAGCTTCCAGGGTCGTCTTAGGGCTGTCGTGGACCGGGGGAGGGTGGAGGGAAAAGAGGGGACGGGAAAGGGCAAGGGAGGAGAAGAGGGGAGGAGAAGACGGGATAGGGGAGGGAGCGCAAGGGGGTAGGGTTAAGTCGGGCCTGTCCCTCTACAGGAGGACCGTTTCAAAATAGTTGAAAAGTAGTCTGGAGTAAAGTCTGGAGACGATTTGTTTCTACCATTTTTGAATATGTTTCGGGGATGTTTTGACAATGTTCAACGCTTCGTCCAAAATCGACCTGTATGGGGGACAGGCCCGACCGAAGGGCAGGGAGAAGGGCGGAGCGGGGGGGGGGAAACGAGAGGGGAGGGTGAAGGAGGAGGAGGAGGAGAAGGAGGAGGAGGAGGAGGAACGAGGAGGAGGGAGGAGGAGGAGGAGGAGGAGGAGGAGGAGGAGGAAGAGGAGGAGGAGGATGAGGGAGGGAGGATTGCTGGTGGCGGAGTCGCGCCACGCCGTCGCGGCGGCGGCCCCCGCGCGGGCGCTCCTGGTTGCACGCCGCTGGCGGCCCGGAGCCGGCCGCTGTCGGACCCGCCTGGGCTATCGGAGCCCCCGCGATCGCCAAAAGCTGAGCGACCCCCATTCAGGAGCGACAAAAAGACGTACATGTACATGAATCCACGTTGGTTTCGAGAGTACGCATTGCGCGAATGTTCGTATCACGCGGCCGGTCTCGCGGATCGAGGGGCCGTTTTCATGTACAGAGCTGGGCGTGTACGTCCTTTGTGGGCTCCCTACCCATGGTGTCGGAGGCCAACGCGATCGCCAAAAGCTGAGCGACCCCCATGGTTCAGAGCCCCGAATCATCAGGGGGTAACGCGGGTCAGGGCTAACGCGGGTTCCTTTTTCGGGACTCCGAACCCGAGTTACCCCGGACCCGAGTTGCCCCGGATAACTCGGGCGTCCAGAGCCCCGAATCATCAGGGGTAACTCGGGTCAGGGCTAACGCGGGCTCCTTTTTCGGGACTCCGAGCCCGAGTTACCCCGGACCCGAGTTGCCCCGGATAACTCGAGCGGCCCCCCTGGTGTCGGAGGCCCACGCCGGCGCCGCCATGGCACGAACTTGCCGCAGGAGGAGAATCGGGGCGGTCGAAATGGGTGCAGGAAAGAACGGGCACGAAGACCACCAGCAGCTCCTGCTCATTTTGCACAGGAGTCGCCGTCGGCGTCGCCGCGGCCTGTGCCCACTGAAGACAAGAAGCCGCCTGCCCAACAGCGGGACAACATTTGCTGTCGGGCATCGTACCCATTCTTTCCGTACACATGTCGGGCGCCCAAAGAGGAGGAAGAATGGGTCGGCCTCCAGTTCCGCACGAGGTTTGGAACCACGTTTGGGGGGAGTGGGCTCAGGCTCCGGGGGTGACGCATCGACCCCCGATCGCCTATTCATCGCCGACAGGTCCTGGTAGCCGCCCCCCCCAGGACCGTGCGTTTTTGCCAGGCCATCTGTCGGCGATGCATCGCCGATTCATGCTCGATGTTTTCCCTCATAAGCCAGTCTCCGCTTTCAGAATTGGTAAAGTTCAGCATCAGCGCTGGTACATCCGTGGCGCACAATCCAGCTCAATTCAGCTCAATCTGGCGCACAATCCAGAAAACTGGCCTAATCTGGCGCACAATCCAGCTCAATTCAGCCTGATCCCGGGCCCAGTTTGGACTCATCTGGCCAGGTGGTTCCTTGATCGTGCTTTCCAGCCTTGCACCGTTTTTGTTCGACCACCTCCCGGAGGCTGCCTGCTAGCCCTGAGCCAGCCCCGCAGACCCCGACACTTACAGTCAACCCGCGTAGCAAGCATGGGCAACCTTCCCAAGGATACCCCAGATTTCGTAATAAAGGGAGGGGGGTCTCATTCCGGGGTGGGGGTCTCTTCCAGGCTATCTTGGAGGGCCTGGGGGGGGGGTCTGGGGACGATGCTTTGGAGGGTTCTCCCACGAGGGGGGGTCTGAAGTGGCTTGTCTTGGAGGGTCCAGACCCCCTCCCTTTTATCACGAAGTCTGGAGTACCCTGGCATCCTTGCCCGTTCGGCCCATCCGCGGCGGCGGTCGCTGGCTACAGCCTCGTTCGAGGCACGTGCACATCGGCCTCCAGGGCCCTGAGGCCCTGGCCCCCCCGCCGCGCGCGCATCCTCACGGTGCGGGTGGACGGTACTCTTCCCCCTCGCGATGGGGCTGGCGCCTGCCTGCACGGGCCACAGCCTCGCGCCAAAGAGCGAACTCAAAGCATCAGCCTCCCGGGCCCCACCCTTCCCGCGCATCCTTCTGGCACGGGTGGACTGCACCCTCCCCTCCGACGAAGGCATCTATACACCACCACCGTGCCAGGCCAGGGCCATCCTGGGCCCCAGGATGGTGTATAGACCCTCCTGGCCTCGGCCAGGAGGGCGTATACACCATCCTGGGGCCCAGGATGGCCCTGCCTTGGCACGGTGGTGGTGTATAGATGCCTTCTGCGAATCCCCCCCTCGCGAGGGGCTGGCGCCTGCTCGCGGGCCGCGCGGCGCGCGCGGGCTCCGCCCCCGAGGGCGAGGCGGGGCGGGCGCCTCGCCCCGCCCCCCGCGCCGCGGGCTCTCGGGCGGCGCCGCGCCCTTCGCCCCGCGCACGCCCCGCGCGCGCCGGCCGCCCCGGCGGGCGCGGCGCTCCGCGGCGGCGGCCCGCGCCCCGCGGGCCGCCCGGCCGCGGCGCCGGGCCCGCCCGCGTGCCGGGGGAGGGGCTGCGCCATGGTGCCCTCGCGCGAGACGCGCTGCGGCGAGGAGCTCTCCGGGGCAGCGAGGCTTCGCCAGGCGCGAGGCTTTGAGGGGGCGCCGCCGGCGGTGCTCGGCGGTGCTCGGCGGCCTCGCGAGATGCCTTCCAGCGGCCGCGCCTCGCCGAGGGCGTTGCCGGGGTGCCCCGATCGTCTCCGAGCGGCTGCCTCAGGCCCAGAAACTGCCAGAGGATGGGCTTCGGGGGATGCGTCGGCCGCCATAATCGCCCATGCATCGCCGACAGGGGCCCGGTAGCCCACCCCGCCCGATCTCCATCGCCGATGCAGCGCCGATGGATGTTCTCTCCCCTGAGTCAGTCCTTCCTATAGTTCCCCGCCCCCCCCCCCTGGATCAAAGAGTATGAGACGGAATTGAGCACGAGCTCCCCGAGGCCCGCGAGGAGTTCTGGGATCGGCGCAGGGCCCGAGGCTCCCCCCCCCACCAGGTGGAGCCTCTGGCGCGGCCCCAGGCGCGCTCCGCGCGAGGAGGAAGGGCCTGGAGAGGGGGACCTTGCGCTGACCCAAGCAGTCTGCGCGGACCTCCGAAGGCTTATTCCCCACATCCAGAGTGGGGTTCCTGTTTCTCTGGAGGCCCCATGCAAGAACAAGAGAACACACCCTCTCCCCCTTCTCTAATCGCACACTCATTCACCCAATCACTCACACATCATCAATCACACTCGCTCGCTCACCCACTCACTCACACGCTCACACACACACACTCACTCACTCACCCTCTCACTCACCCACACACGCACACACACACACACTCATCACCATTCACTCACGCACTCACTCACCCACTCACTCACCCACCTACCCGCCAACCCATTCACTCACACACTCATCATCATCATCATCATCATCATCATCATCATCATCATCATCATCATCATCATCATCATCATCATCATCATCATCATCATCATCATCATCATCATCATCATCATCCTCGTCGTCGTCGTCGTCGTCGTCATCATCATCATCAGCATCATCATCAGCATCATCATCAGCTTTCACCATCCTCACGCACTCACTCACTCACTCACTCACTCAATCACTCACTCCCTCACACCCAGATTTGAGGAAGTGTCAGGCGGGAGCCTCGTCTGTGAGTGAATGGCGAGAAAGTCTCAGGCGGGAGCCCGCTCCCTATGGAGCCCGCAGCTCAGATGGGTAATCCTTGGCGGGTCATCGGCTTCCTGCTGCTGTCGTCATTTTTGGGCCCCTGAGGCTTGAAAATGGAGGAAGTATCAGGCGGGAGCTTCGTCTGTGAGTGAATGGCGAGGAATTCTCAGTCGGGAGACCCCTCCATATGGGACCCGCAGTTCATATGAGTAGTCCGAGTCGGGTCATCGGCTTCTTGCAACTGTCATCATTTTTGGGCCCCTGAGGCCTGAATATGGAGGAAGTACAGGCGGGAGCCTCGTCTGTGAGTGAAACGCGAGGAAGTCTCAGGCAGGAGCCCGTCATCGGGGTCGCCCTCCGAGGAATAATAATAATAATAATAATAATAATAAGAAGAAGAAGAAGAAGAAGAAGAAGAAGAAGAAAAAGAAGAGGAAAAGACAACAACAGGAGGAGGAGGAGGAGGAGGAGGAGGAGGAGGAGGAGGAGGAGGAGGAGGCAGGGGTTGAGGCAGGAGAAGCAGCAGGCAGGAGGAGAGGGAGGAGGCAGGAGGAGGTAGGAGAAGGGGGCATGAGGATATCCCCAGGCAAGCTAAACAGATTCTCATGTGGGGTCCTACCATCGGAGTAATGGTTTTGTCAGTTGTTGTTGCTCCTCTTGAGGAGGAGTATTTGTGCGATTGGTGCGGAGGCTGTTCCGAGCAGGGGCACCTCGGGGGCAGCCTACACCGCTGGAAGTGCGAGCCGTGTAACCACGACGTCTGCTTCAGCTGCCACCCTCCACCTGGGCCGCTCCGAGTGGAGCACACGTCAGGGTGCACAGTCAGCGTAGCAGAGGCAATCTCGGGTACCCACGAGGATTCTCCAGAGTATGATTACTGCCTGCCGAAGGGGTCGCTCGGTGTCGTGAGGAGAGTCGACGACGCTGGCGACATCCTCGTCTGTTGGCATGAGCTGGGCGACAGGTGGGTGCTGAAGGAGGACGGCAGCAAGCTGCACATCGACCCCACTGGCGGCACCGGCGCGCCGCTGCCAGCCGGGTGGGCGGCCCTGGGCGAGGCACAGCCTCAGGCTCTGGGCGACTCCGCGCCAGCGGAGCCTCGGGCAGCCCCGCCCGCGCCCGCGCCCAGGCCCCCGCCTCGGGACGCCCCCGCCGGCCCTGCGCGGGAGGCGGCGGATGATGCTGCGGCGCCTGCCGCCGAAAGCGGGCCACTGGGCGCGGAGGCCGCGGCGGCGGAGCCGCAGCCGGGCCCCGCCCCGGAGCGCCGCGCCCGCCGCTGGGAGCAGGGCGCCGCGGCGAGGCCCAGCGGCGGCGAGGCCAGGGGGCCGGGAGCAGCGAGCGGCGGCGGGGCGGGGGCAGCAGCGCAGGGGGAGGGCGCCGAGGCAGCCGCGGCGCCTGCCGGAGCCGAGGCGGCCGGGGAGCGCGGCGGCTCTGGAGGCGCGGGCGGCCAAGCTGTGCGCGACCCAGCCGCTGACGCGGCACGGGCTGCGCAGGCGGCGGCGAGCGAGGGCGTGGGAGCGGCGGCGGCGGCGGCGGAGGCCGCCACTCCGGCAGGGGCGGCGGGGGCAGTCGAGGAGGCCGAGAAGCAGGAGGAGCTCGACAGGATCGAGCGGGAACGGCTGAGGGGCTCCAGGTGGGGAGTCCCTGGCGGCGGCCTCAGGGCTGCCCAGGAGGCCGCGGAGAAGAGGGAGGCACGGCTGGCCGATGAGGCCCGCGGGGCCGCGGACGGGGCCCGCGGGAGGGCGGAGGAGGAGGAGGGTACGGCCGAGGAGGCCAGGCTGGTCAGCGAGGGCGGGGCCAGCGGGAAGAGGGCCTCCGAGGCCGCGGGGGGGTGCAGGCTCGCCGAGGGGGCGCGGGCGGCGAGAGAGGCAGGGACGGCGCCAGGAGCGGCGGAGGCGGCGGGGCCCGCGAAGGAGGCGGCGGCGGGGGCGAGACGCCAGGAGGAGGTGGAGGCAGCAGCGGCGGCGGATGCACTGGAGGCGGCGGGGGCGGCGAGGGTCGACAAGGCAGCGCTGGACGAGGCCGAGGAGGAGGAGGAGGAGGAGGAGGTGGAAGAGGCTCCGGAGGCCGAGGCGACGGGGGCCGCCGAGGCGGCACTGGCCGCGGAGGCGACGGGGCGCGAGGCCAGAAGCAGGGCGGAGAGGAAGGTGAAGAAGAAGGCCGACCTGAGGGCGAGGAGGGAGGCCGAGCAGCGCAGAGCGCGCGAGGAGCAGGAGCAGCGATCGCGGGCCGAGGCCGAGCGCAGGGAGCGAGAGGCCGCCGAGCGGCTGGCCGAGCAGGCGGCGAGGCTCGAGGCCAGCGAGAAGGCGGAGAGGAAGGCGAAGAAGAAGGCGGACCTCAAGGCCAAGAAGGAGGCCGAGCAGCGCGCGAAGAGGGAGGCGGAGCGCAGGGCGCGCGAGGAGCAGGAGCAGCGGTCGAGGGCCGAGGCCGAGCGCAGGGCGCGGGAGGCCGCCGAGCGGCTGGCCGAGCAGGCGGCGAGGAGGGCGGAGCAGGCCGCCAAGAGGGCGGAGCGGGCGAGCCAGAGCCAGGCGGCGCCCGCGGTGGAGCCGCCGCCCGCCCCCGGGCCAGGACGAGGGGCATCGTTGGGGGAGGGGGGGGGCAACGGCTCCTCAGTCGGGTATAGCCAGGACCCCGGGTAAGGGGACCCGGTGAGCGGTAGGGCCCTGGGGCCCCTCAGCTGGCCAGATTCACTAAACCAGGTTTGCCGTAGCTGGTGTTTGTCGGGTGACGGCAGTTCCGGTGAGTGGAGGTGGGACGGGGGGGCGCCCTCAGTACAAATCACGAAGCCAGGTTCCACTAAACCCAGTTCTGCCAACGCCCGACTCAGTCGGGGACGCATCGTCCGCCAATCGCCCACGGATCGTCGATCAGGGTCTGACAGGCCTCCCCGCCCAGGAGCGTGTGGAGTCGCTGTCGGGGGCCTATCGCCGACGTGTCGGCGAGTGCAGGTCGGCGTCTCCCTCCCTGAGCCGCTAACCCCCCTCGCGTTGCCTCTCAGAGGAGGCCAGGAGCCTCTGGCTGGCAGCCGGGATGCGCCGCGGGGCGGCGCCGGCCTCGGGACGCCCTGCAGGCTGTGCGAGCGGCAGGCCTACGGCGCCGAGTTGGCAAGGACGCTGCGCGTGTGCAAGGGGCACTTCAGGGAGCTGCAGGGTGCGGAGCAGCACCTCGTGGGTCGCGCCGCGGAGTTGCCGAAGTGCTCAGGCGAGGAAGAGGTGCCCGTCACGGCGAGCCTCCTCTCGGCTTCGCCTTCTTGGGCCTCCCGGGAGGCGCCATCCTCGCCACGGCTGGATTCGCCTCGACATGCGGGTCAGAACGCAGCCCTGGAGAGGTCTAGGGAGTAGCGGAATTGGTTCCTTGTTGCCTCTCCGTAGGTACTGCTGCCATGGCTCCAAGACCTTCAGCTTGTTGCACGTGCTCGCGTACAGCAGCGTGAGGGCACGGCGGAGCGCCGACGTCAGCCAGTGGATGCAGCAGGTTCCTTTCTTGAGGGCCCTCATCAGGCTGCTCCTGCTGCGCGGCGCAGACCCCTTGGCCAAGAATGCCTTAGAGGCCACCCCGTTAGACTCGATGGTATCGGTGGTTAGTGTGGCTCCTCACGTCGTAATTGCTTTCCTCGAGGAGATTTGCGAGCAGGATCAGACCAAAGCGATACATGTGGCAAAGAATTTCGCTGAACTGGTGAAGGGGTCGTGGAGCGCAAAAATCTTAGAGCTGTTCCGCAAAGTGCAACGGCTGGACAACATCAACTCCGTCGTCGGCCAGCGCTTGGGGGAGAACGTCCCCCAGATCCAGGCGTTCCTGCGGATCTATTCCCCTTGGTGGCCGCAGAAGCCAAGTAGCACAGGAGCCCCCCCCGCCCATCTCAGGGCAGCCACGCCACTACGGCAGGGAGACTCACGTCCCTCAGGGCCAGTTTTGCGTTGCGATTCGAAAACCAATGCTTGACAATATTCCGGGGGAATGCTTCTCCTTCCGCAGGGGCGTTTACCCCAAAGCGCGTTTTCCTCGGGAGGGGTATCCCTTCCTGAGCGAAGCGTTTCCCCGACCCAAGGGAGGGGGAAGAGGGAGGGGGGCAGAGGAGGAGGGGGTCCGAGGAGGGGGAGACTGAATCTCGGTACCCCTGTGGTTTCGTCTGCCCTGGGCATCTCCACATCCACAACGGTGTCTGCAAACTCGTGGAGAAAACCCCTGGGCCAACCTTCCGCGGCCGCTATTCCATGCTGGCAGGGACAGTTGCGAACGGTCAGCCAGTTTGGAAGCATGACTCACTGGATTACTTCGTCTTCATGACCAAAACTACGCGTGTTTGGTGTCTCGGGGGCGAGGCAGAGGAACTCGACGGTTTCGAATGCGACACGGGTATGATGTTCCACGACCGCTCGTCGGAAGAGAGGTTCCCCCACGACTTGCCAGGATCCTGGCTTGTGCTGGGGTCAAAGAAGAATGAGTGGGTCGAAGACCGCACCGTCTGCGTTGACAGGCGGCCGCCGGAGATGTCTTTCATCGAACAAATCAGCACGGAGAGCGAGCATGTGGGAACACTTCTTGCATATGGATGCGAGTGCGTGTGGAGCATCCCGCGATGCACTTGGCCAGATTTCATGATCATTCCTAGGTTCGTAAGTGGGGCATTTAGCTTGTGCGGCCTCGACGGCTTTCGGTTGGAGTTTCTGCCTCGGGGTATCGATCAAAAAGGGCCGTTCTGTGGTTTAAGCGTGCATGTGCCTGTGAAGGGTACATTCTCTTTCACGCTGCAAGTGCTACCAGGGAAGAGCTACACGATGCGCGAGCAGTTCAACGGAGTTGGCGGTGAGTTCCTCGGCTGGTTCGACAAATTTGAGCTCAAGCCGGCATGTCAGGGCGACGAGCTGCTCATCCGTGTGACACTGTTGGAAATGCCTTGTCCAGACGGGCATCGGGGAAAAGATTTGTCCAAGGATCCATCCAGATGCTCCAAGCATCGCACGCCCGATGCAGACCCAAGCGCGTCGAACGGCGATGCGAGAGCGGACGACTACTCCCAGGCTTTCCAGGCCATGGCGGAGGCAGGAAGCATGCGGGGCGAGGTCGCAGAATTCCACAGGCTCCTCTTATCTGGAGCCGCAGCCCCAGACGACAAGAGCCGCGCGGCCTTTGAGGCTCACGCGGCCCTGACGCAGGAGATTCAGAAGGTGATGTCTTCCGCCGAGTTCTGGGCAGAGGTGCGAGCCAAGGGCATCCAGGAGGCTTCGGCCAGGCTCATTGAGACCGCTGCTGTGCATGAGGCTTTGATCCAGTGCCACAAAACAATGCCCCCATTGCTTGGCCGCCCGTAGGCTGTGCGACTCCTGGCTCTGAAGAATTTCGCGGCCCTTTGAAAATGGCGCGAGTGCTCCATTTTCAATTTAGTCGCTTGGCTCACTCTGCTGGTCCAAGTTATCTCGCTGGCGGCATTTGGGTGCACTGCAAAGTGCGATGAGTGAGAGGGTGAGAGCACGAGGGGTCACACAAGTTTGCGCGGTTCGGATCGCTCATGTGTACGAAGGCGGTGCATACATATTTAGATGTGTATCTATAGAGATATAGATCTACATATGTACATGCACGCAACTATGTATGTAGGGCGGCCGGTCGGTCGGTACGTAGGTGGGTATTTAGATCGGCAGGTTGGTAGACTGGCAGGTAGGTAGGTCGGTAGGTAGGTAGGTAGGTAAGTATGCATGTACATGTTCATATGTGTATATGCATGTGCATGTATACATGTTCATATGTTGAGCCATCCAGAGCCACTGAGCATGCGGTGTTGCTCGAAAGATTTGAGTCTCCAGGGAGCCCTTGAGGGCTGTCTTGGACCGTCCTGGTCCACCGTGGGGCTATACTGAGGCCTTCGGGGGCTGCCTTGGCAGCATCGAGAGGCCTGCCAACTACGGAGGATCCTCAGTCTTGTTCCGTTCTGGGGCACTGAGGATGCTCTCTGGAGTCTCCCTGCGCTCTAGCCCTTTCAGCCACTACACTGGGGTTTCGGGGACAGATCGGGGCTGCCTTGAGACCATCCTGGGGCATGCCACCCGCTGATTTCGCTCTCGGGACGCTGGAAGGCTCTCCTGGAGCTCTCTCACACTACTCCTGGGGCGTTCTTGGACGCCTTCGGAGCCCTTCTTGGGTCCTTTCCAGCCCCCCACTCGGGGCCAGCTTGGTCGATGGTGGATCCATGTTGATGGCCCGAGCAGGCCGTAAGGAGCAGAGCGGCGAGAAGGTAGACGCCCATAGTAACAACATGTGTTGTTGGAGGTCTTCTCTTGGGGGGGTAATCTTGGTGCTGCCCTGGGGCCCTGCCACCCCCGCTCTTGGTCAACTATTGGGCTCTCGCGGAGCTCTCTTGGGCCTCTCCTGGGGTGGTCTTAGGAGTCGTCGGAGCCCTCTTCGAGCTTGTCCGGGCCCCACTTGGAGCCATCTTGGGCGATCGCAGAGCCATTCTGAGCCCTGGAATGCCCACAGGAAGGAAAACGGCGACGAATCTGGAATCATCGAACACAGCATGATTTTGAATGTCTTGGCCTCCTGGGGGCCTCTGCGGGGCTACCTGGAATCATCTAGGGCCACCTTGTGGCTATCTTGGGGCCTGCCACCCATTAATCACCGTTTCTGGGCCGCTCTTGGGCTCTCTTGGAGCTTCCCTGGGACGATCCTAACGCTGTTTTGGGGGTCCTGAGGGCCGTGCCCAAGAGAAGAACTAGATCTGACCCAAGCTTCCCAGAACTGGCATTGTCGGGCTATTTTTCGTCAAGGGATCACCGGGGGTCGTCCCGCTACTCCGACCCTCTCACCCGAGATCTCAGCCCGCCTTTGGCCCGTTGCGCCAGCGAATTGCGCGGGCCATGGAACGTGGCGCTTGCTGCATTTGCCGTAGATCTAGTGCAAGGAGAACGTTCTAGCATAATCTGTTCCACCCTCGAGGACGCTTGTCCCAAGGCAGCTGGTAATGTCATACCCGACGTGCCGCCGTAGGGGGGTACATGTTCCAGCCGCCTTGGCAAGACACTGGGTTCTCTTCCCCAGCGCGCTCCGCTGGGGAAGAGGGTCCAGCGCTGATCTGAGAAAGCTGCGCGGACCTCCGAAAAGTTATGCTTACGCATAGTATTATTCAAATCGCCCTCCTGACAGCGACCCAGCTTTGCATCAGGGCCCTTCAGTACAAGTCAGTCGAGTGCAATTCAGATCAAATTCGAAAACGCTCCTTGTCCTCCCCTTCTATCCTCTTACCCCGCAATGCGTTTCTCCTCCCTAGAGGAATCGCCACTCCTTGCGGCAGGGATGGCAGATGGGCAGACCCGCGCGATTTGTAGTGTGCGGGGTTGGCTCTTTTCGGCTAGGTGAGTACATGACCAGGTGAGGATTGGCTCACGTTGCCGCTCACAGAGAAACGCAATCGCATCATGATATGAGTTGTTGGCGTTGAGCGCCCTTGTGTGTGTATTCGTTTGCTTTCTGGAGAGGGGTGAAGCTGTTAGGGTTTCTCTCAGATAGCGGATTGCCGCGCCCAGTTCTTCCCGAATTGTCCGGTCAGGACAACATATCCACCATGTTGGGGTCAGGGAAGAAGAGCGATGCTGCAAAGGAGGAGAGAACCAAATTTCATGTTATAGAATGTCGAAGGTCGGCAGCCTCTGTTTCCTCCTCATTGCCGCCAGCATGGTCGTCTGCGTCCTTCCAGCCCTCGTATCTCAATGTTCGCACATATGTTGTTACTGTCGTCGTAAGTGTTGTCTTCTGTGTCCGTGATTCATATCTTTGCACACCTCCCCTATCCATTCTCCTCCCCCCATCTCCTTTTTATCTTCCTCATCCTCCTCATCCTTTCCCTGGTATATCTTGTCCTCGTCCTCCTTCTCCTCCTAAATATCATATTCTTCTTGTTTCCTGTCCACCTCCGCGCGCACGGGGCCTAGAAGGAAGAGGAGAAGGAGAAGGATGAGGCAGTGGAGGAGGAGGAGGAGGAGGAAAAGGAGGAGGAGGAGGAAAAGGAGGAGGCGGAAGAGGGAGGGGTGTTGAGGAGGGACGGGGAGAAGGAGGCGGAGGAGGGAGGAGGAGGGATGAGGGGAGAAGGAGGATGTGGAAGAGGGAGGAGGAGGAGGAGAAGGAGAACGAGGAGGAGGAGGAGGAGGAGGAGGAGGAGGAGCATGGCGAGAACGAGGATGAGGAGGAGGGAGTGCGACGACGACGAAGAGGAGGACCCTCTCCGCTCCCGCCGCCGCCGGTCCCGTCGCAAGCGGCCCCGCAGGCGAGGGCGGGGGCCGACCAGGCAGAAGGCGCCCCCAGGGCGCACACCCATGAACTCGGGCTGGACCGGACGAAAGGGTTCCTCCCTCCTCCCTCCTGCCCCTCCCTCCTCCTCCCTCCCTCCCTCATCCCTCTCCCTCCACCTCCTCCCTCCTCTCCTCCTCCTCTCCTCCTCCTCCTCCTCCTCCTCCTCTCCTCCTCCTCCTCCTCCTCCTCCTCCTCCTCCTCCTCCTCCTCCTCCTCCTCCTCCTCCTCCATCTTCCTCCACAGTTACTAAATATGAATACTACTCTCCTCCTTCCCCTGATGACGGGTTGGAAGCGTTCGCCCCCCATCCCGCGTACTGTTTTTTACACAGGATTCCCCAGAGTTGGGTTTTCGCTTGCATTTTTGTTTCAAAATGCTGCTCTCGCTGAGACGCAGGTTTCATTTTCGGGCTTCCGCTCGTTCCGAATCGTGCTCCCGCTGCAGCGCTGGCCTCATTTCCGTGCTTCCGCTCGTTCCGAAGCGTGCTCCCGCTGCAGCGCTGGCCTCATTTCCGCGCTTCCGCTCGTTCCGAATCGTGCTCCCGCTGCAGCGGTGGCGTCATTTCCCGTGCCATGCCACGGCATGCAATGCAATGCTAGGTTGCGTTCCGCTGCGCGATGCCACGCCTTCAGTTGCAGCTGTCATATCCAGTGCTTAAGTGCCACGTCGTGCTATGCCATGCTACGCTTTGATCTTCAACGCCATGCTATGCAATGTTATGTTCGGGGCCGCTGTGCGATGCCATGCTTTGCGTTGCAAAGCTTTGTGATGCAATTCTTCACTACGCCACGCCACGCCATGCTGTGACATACTACGCTTTGCGGTGCTTTTCTACGCCATGCCACGCCGTGCTCTACAATGCATCGCGTACCCTTTCGGGATCATTGCCCTGCTCGACATGCGACTGTGCGAGTAGAGAGGGGATCTACGCCATGGTAAGGGATGGGAGGGAGGGGTAGGATGTCAGATATGACCCGAGCACACCTAGCTTGATCTCCTCCTCCTCCCCCTCCTCCTCCATCTCCTCCTCCTCCTCCTCCTCCTCCTCCTCCTCCTCCTCCTCTCCTCCTTCTCCTCCTCTCTTCCTCCTCCTCCTCCTCCTCATCCTCCTCCTCCTCCTTCCCTCCTCCTCCTCCTCCTCCTCCTCCTCCTCCTCCTCCTCCTCCTCCTCCTCCTCCTCCTCCTCCTCCTCCTCCTCCTCTCCGTTTGTCGAGGAGGAGGAAGAGCGGTCCCAACAGGCGCCGCGCGCGCCGCCGCGGAGCAGCGCACGCTGGCGGAGGAGCTGGAGGCGGCCAGGGCCAGGGAGGCCGCGTGCGAAGGCGGTCGGCCGCCCTTTCGGGCAGATCGTGTTGGACGAGGCTCGAGGCCCGAGGCTCGAGGTTCGAGGTTCTAGGTTCTAGGCTCGTCGGCTCTGGGCGGTCTTCCAGCCTCGAGTCGCGAGGGGCGTTCCGGGAGCCGCACCTGGCCGAGAGCGACCCGGGGGTGCTCGGTTCGTCCCCTATCGGCCGCCGGAGGCCCCGCGGCTCTGACGCGAAGGCCCAGTTTTTTCGCCTTCGGGAGGGCCCTTCACCCCCAGACACTCGGCTGCTCCAACTTTTGTTGGGGGCGTGGACCCAGGAGGTGCGGCCAGCTTCCCCTGGACCAGTGTTACGTGAGTCGTTTTGTTGACGCTCCCGAGGCCCGACGGCCAACAACTGCCTGCTCCAAGTTTTCTGGAGCGTCGGATCTCAGGGACGGGCCCCAGAGGCCTCAAGAACGGTTGGGTCCAGACCTCCGGGGTCCAGCGAGGCGGAGACCAGGACACAGACTAACCAGGACAGTGGCAAGTTGGGAAAGCGGCAGCGGCACCCGTTCCTGCAAAGTCAGATGTGGTCGTCCAGTGCAAGATGTGTTGGCTGTGCTGCAAGATTCGGGTCTGTGTCCGTGTCTAGGGAGGGTTGTTTGTAGGCTTTCAGAGCATTTGTCCAGGTTTATTTTGGGAAGGTTGTAGTACATGGCCGACCGGGGTTCTTCGGGGAGAGTTGCAGTGCAGTTTTTTTGTTTGCGCTGCCGTCTGGAAAAATCGAATCGCGTCGCGTAACCCAACCAGCCCATCCAGAAACGATGCCCAGAGCAGTTGCCTCGATCAGGGAAGTGGGCAGCACGCAGAGGAATGGTCCCCCAGTGGAGGCCTCTTGGAGCGTCTTGGGGGCTTCTTGGTGGTCCCAGAGGCCTCTTGGAGCGTCTTGGGTGAGGAAGGGTCCGCCAGTGGAGGCCTCTTGGAGCGTCTTGCGGGCCTCCTGGCGGTCCTGGAGGCCTCTTGGAGCGTCTTGGGCGCCTCGGGGAGCCTCTGGAGGCGTCTTGGGGCTCTCTTGGGAGCCTCTTGGGCCAGCACAGTACCAACGACGTTGTCGCAGTGTGCACCTCGCATTGTTTTTGACACGGATGGTGGTCCTGCACAAAGCGGCTTCACTAAGGGTGCCCCGCCACCCTTGTCAAAAACAATACAACGTGCTCATAGGGCGCCAGCGCAATGTCTAGATGTTGTTGCAATGTGCACTTCGTATTTTTTTTCTTGACAGGGATTGTTGAGGGTGTTGGCAGGGTGGGCCCCGCAATGTGCATGTTGTATTGTTTTTTGACAGGGATGGTGGGGGGGGGGCCGCATGGTTCCGGATTGGCTGCCGGCCAGGTGGGGGAGGGGGTCTTTATCGATAGGGAACAATGATAAACCCTTCCCCGAAGGGGAAGCGGGGCATATGGAAGACAGAACACCCTAGACCACCTACGCCCTAAAGGGCTGGTGGGATTTGGTTTGGAGGGGCGCTGGATATCCCAATCTAGCGTGTCCAGGTTTATGGGTCCTGAAAGAGGAGGAAAAGCAGGAGCAGGAGCAGTAGCAGGAGGGTCAGGAGAAGGCGGAGGAGGAGCATGGATGGGGACGGCACTGACGAGGAAGGAATCAGATCCAGAAGTGTGGCCCGCGCTGGGGCGAGAGCGCCATTCTGAACGATGGGAGCAAGCCGCCGTTCTTGCCATATGGCCAACGCGGCAGTGGCAACTCCGTTCTTGTTGGGTCACGCCCAGATCGAACAACTCATGGGACCGCGTTGCTGTTGGACCACGTTCGTTCCCCCCTCTCTGCGCTCGTGTCATCGTCGTCCTGCGGATTTTGATGGGGGCTGGCGAAGGGGTTGTCCCTGAGGCCGACGCCCGGCGCCCACCCCCCCCAGCGTTCTCCTCGTTGTGCCCGTTTGTCAGGAGGAAAAGAAACACACAGACACAATTAATCCTCGATTTCCCAGAAAATATGGGAAAATATTGGAAGTGGGCGGGAATACAGAAACCCAGAAAATATGGGAAAATATAGGGAATATGTTTATTTGTGTGTATTTATTTGTGTGTCCTGGGGCCCCTTCAGTTTGGGGGGGGGGGGGAGGCCACGGCGCCTCCCGCGCCCCCAGGGTCAGGGACCTCAAAGGTGCACTGAGGAGGCGGAGGAAATGGAGGAGGAGGAGGAGGAGGAGGACGAGGATGACGAGGAGGAGGAGGAGGACGAGGAGGAGGACGAGGAGGACGAGGACGAGGAGGAGGAGGACGAGGAGGAGGAGGAGGAGGAGGAGGAGAGCTGGCCCACGGGCGGCCGAAGCGTGCCCAGGGCGAGGGGGCTGTGCAGGGTGTTCCCTCGGCCCCGTCGTGGCTTGCAGGAGTCTCGCTGTGCTGCGCAGGGGGCCCGGGCTCAGAGGGCGAGAGCACTGAGGCGCCGCAGCCCCGCCGGGACCTCCTTGCACAGGCACTCGCACGACTGACAGTGCGATTCGGACCAGCAGCCCCTAAAGTCGCATGGAAGACCAGTGTCTGAAATCCTGTACGCAAGAAGCCATCTGCGGGAGAGGCGGCTGCAAGCCAACACAGCATCAGGGGAGAGAAGAAAGTAGGATTCACACTGTATCCCTGTAAAGACGGGAATGTGGGGAAGCGGGCGGAGGGCAGGGAGGGAGGGAAAGCGGGAAGGCAGGGAGGGAAGGCAGGAACGGGATGGGTTGGGACGGCACGGGACGCGATTCGGACATCCAGCGGCTCACCAATGTTGCGACGGTGAGTTGTTCTTTTTGTTTGGAGGCCGGTTTCGGGACCTGGGACCGAGAATACATGGTGCATGACGAAAGACGAACTTCCCAGCCCAGGGAATGGGTCATTAGCTCCGACGCCACGTGTTGAACAAATGACGATTTGGGAGGTCTGGGATGGAGTGCGACGCAACTCGATGGGATCTGATGCGATTTAACGGAATGTAAGTTATACGGAGTAAAGGATTGCGAGACATGGATGGGGTGGGATGAAGCGGGATGGGAAGTCATGGGATCTGACGGCAAGGGATGGGATTGGATTGGAGTGAAGTGGAACCGAGTGGCGGGGTTTTGTTCGGACGTGGGCTGGAGCAGCAGCAGCAGCACACAGAGCGACGAATGGGGACCGCACGAGGGCCCGAAGACGAGCACCGAGTGGAGGGCGGACCGGTCGTCCTCGGCAAAACTCCAACTACGAGTTTTTTAATCGCAGCAATGTTAAGATACGCTATTGGAGCTGGAATTACGGCGGCTGCTGGCACTAGACTTGCCCTCCAATTGGCATTCGTAAAGGGATTTTAATTCGAAGCGTTCCAATTACAAGACAATTACGCCCTGTACTGTTCCAAACTATCCTGTGGTGTTGGGTCCTCGTTTTGAAGAGACAGCGCCCCGCCTCCCACCTCCTTCCTCCTTCCTCCTCTCCTCCTCCTCCTCCCTCCTCCCCCATCCTTGCCTTTGCTCTCCGTATGTCTCAGCTCACCCCCTCCTCCCATCATCACCATCATCACCATCATCATCATCATCATCACCATCGTCATCATCGGCATCGCCATGGCTGATTCGTTTCGTGGCCCCATGAGGAGCTCCATCGAAGGCCCCAGTGGGGGGGGGGGCACATGCGGTTCCCACGCCCAGGACAGCGCTTCGTGGCCCCATAGGGAGCTCCACCGAAGGCCCCAGTGGGGGGGGGCCACATGCGGTTCCCACGCCCAGGACAACGTTTCATGGCCCCATAGGGAGTTCCACCGAAGGCCCCAGTGGGGGGGGGCCACATGCGGCTCCCACGCCCAGGACAGCGTTCCGTGGCCCCATAGGGAGCCCCATCGAAGGCATCACTGGGGGGGGGGGGGGCACATGCGGCTCCCACCCCAAGGACAGCGCTTCGTGGCCCCATAGGGAGCTCCACCGAAGGCCCCAGGCTCCAGACAGGGGGAGTGGCCCCACAGCACATGCGGCTCCCACGCCCAGGACAGCGCTTCACGGCCCCATAGCGAGCTCCACCGAAGGCCCCAGTGGTGGGGGGGGGGGGGGGGGGGCACACGCGGCTCCCTCGCCCAGGACAGCGCTTCGTGGCCCCATAGGGAGCTCCACCGAAGGCCTCAGTGTGGGGGGGGGGGGGGGGGGGGGCACATGCGCCCCCCACGCCCAGGACAGCGCTTCACGGCCCCATAGGGAGTTCCACCGAAGGCCCCAGTGAGGGGGGGCACATGCGGTTCCCACGCCCAGGACAGCGCTTCGTGGCCCCATAGGGAACTCCACCGAAGCTCTTCCTTCTCATCCGTCTCAGCGTCCTCCTCCTCCTCCTCCTCCTCCTCCTCCTCTTCCTCCTCCTCCTCCCCCTCCTCCTCCTCCTCCTCCTCCTCCTCCTCCTCCTCCTCCTCCTCCTCCTCCTCCTCCTCCTCTTACTTCTCATCCGCCTAGGTATCCTTGTTGTGAATGGTTTCAACGCGAACCATTTTGTGGAGGATTTTTATCGGATTCCTTTTGTGAAGGAATGTAATAAGAATGTTTTTGCGGAGGATTTCAATAGATTTTTTCTGTGGGAGATTTCAATAATAATCCTTCTGCAGAGGATTTCCTCCATCCTCCTCTTCCTCATCCGCTTCATTTTCCCTCACCCTCCCACTCCGCCGACTTCTCCTGCTTATGAAGGGTGCCACCCTGCTGTTGCGTTTTTTACATTCGGAATCATTATGTGGTGGCTTTCAGTAGAAACCTTCTCCTCGTCCGCCTCATCTTCCTCCTCCTCCCCAGTCGCTTCATTTTTTGCCAATACTTCAATAGGAATCCGTTGAGAAGGGGGCAGGATGACGGGAGGGGCGCAACACATTGCTCACACACCTACTTGCGGAGTTGCGTTCGCAACTGGGTTTGTGAGTAACGCTTCCAAGCGGAAAGCAACGGGCATAATGAACCGGAGCCGGAGCAGCAGCAGTAGGAAGCAGGCGAAGAAGAGGAGGGTGGGGAGGAAGAAGAGGAGGGTGAGGAGCAAGACGAAGGTGAGGAGGAACAGGCTACTCACAAAGGTAGTTGTGGAGCGGCGCTCACAACTAGTTTTGCGAATAATGCTTCGTAGCGGAAGGTTACTCGCAAATTGTGTTGTGGAGTTGCGTTCATGAGTAACGCTTCGAAGCGGAGAGGAGGGGGCATAATGAACAGGAGCAGGAGCAGCAGGAGGAGGAGGGTGAGGAGGAAGAAGAAGAGGGTAGGAGCATGACGAAGGTGAGGAGGAACGCAGTATTCACAAAATTAGTTGTGGAGCGGCGTTCGCATCTAGTTTTGTGAGTAATGTTTTGTAGCGGGAGGTTACTCGCAAAACTTGATGTGCAGTTGCGTGCACAGCTAGATTAGTGAGTAACGCCTCGAATCGGAGAGCAGGGGGCAGAATGAAGAAGAGAAGAAGAGGCAGCAGGAGGAGGAGGGTGAGGAGAACGAAGAGGAGAATGAGGAGAACGACGAAGGTGAGGAGGAGCACATTACTCAGAAAATTAGTTGTGGAGCGGCGTTCACAACTAGTTTTGTGAGTAATGTTTCGTAGCTGGAGGTTACTCGCAAAACTTGATGTGCAAGTGCGTTCACACATAGATTTGTGAGTAACGCCCCGAATCGGAGAGGAGGGGGCTGAGTGAAGAGGAGACAGAGGAGGGGGAAAAGCAGGAGGAGGAAGAAGAGGAGGGCGAGGAGCATTACGAAGGTGAGGAGGAACACAGTACTCTCAAAATTAGTTGTGGAGCGGCGTTCGCAACTAGTTTTATGAGTAATGTTTCGCGGCAGGAGGTTACTCGCAAAACTAGTTGCGGAGCTGCGTTCACAATTAGAGGTGTGACTAACGCCTCGAAGCGGAGAGGAGGGGGAACCCCTTCCCCCTCTTCCCCCCCCCTCCCCCTCCTCTTCGGAATGAGCGAAAGCACGAAAACCACCGAAAAGCTTCAGACAACCACCCCCCCCCAAAAAAAAAAACAATCATCATTTCGGGAGAACCTTGCCGTGCCGGCCCCTCTCCCCAGAAGTTCTCCCGAAATGATGATTGTTTGTTGTTTTGTTTTGTTGTTTGGTTTTTGAGGTTTTGTGTTTGTTGTTGGTTTTCTGAAGCTTTTCTGTGGTTTTCGCGATTTCGCTGATTCCGAAGAGGAGGAGGAGGAGGAGGAGGAGGAGGAGGAGGAGGAGGGATAGGGGGAGGAGAAGGAAACGGAGAGTGAAGATATCGATCGGCGGCCGCGGTAGAGACGAATATGTATGATCATGTGGGGGGACGTCCATAATTATATATATATATATATATATATATATATAATATATGTATATATATATATATGGATGTGGGCACGTGCATGTATACATAGACCCACGCGTGCGCAACAACCTATTGCATGTATATTTGGGCATATCTGCGTGTACACAGATGCATGTCCATATACATGTACGCGGTCGTGGCCTCAGAAGGGGGATTCAGAAACGCCGTGAAGGGATCGCGAGTGCCGAAAAATTTGGATAGGAGAGGGCATGGAGGGCACGGCAGAATGTGGAACGGCGACCTGGGTTTACCAATGACCGTGTCTTCGGCACTGTGGAAGGAGCCGTGTGAGGGCCTTGGGGGGCCTCGGGGCCGTGTCGCAGCGGGGCCCGATTATCTCGACGCTGAAGTTGTTTTGCGCCGCCGTACGCTCTTGGGAGGCCTCGCGTTCACAGTGTCAACGGCGGCCTGGTTGGCGCCCCCTCTTCCTCCGGGGTGGGTGGGTGGTCTTCGGGCTGAGGCTCAGGCAGGGCGCCGGCCGGAAGCGCTGCACTGCCACGGCGGCCTCTGAGCAGGTTGACCCAGCGCGCCCCGGGCAAAGCCCGGGGAGCATGCGGCAAGGCCAAAGGACGCCTACCGCATATATCAGGACATATAACGTCACGTGGACCTTATTGGAGCCTCCCAGAGCCTTCCGAGGGCCTCTGTGGGACGTGGTGCAGTCCCGTTCTGGCCTGGGCCTGTCTTGGGGCGCGTGATGGCTCTGTTGGGCTGTTTTGGGGTCATGTTCGGGCTCCTGGCCTGTTTTGGGCGTGTCTTGGGGGCCTTTCCGGGCGTTTCCGAACTGCTGTGGGGCCCTTGCGGGATCTTTGGAGACTCACGGGGGCCTCTTAGGGCCTCTTGGGGGCCTCTCGGGGGCATCTTAGGGCCGCTTCGGGGCCTCTTGGGAAGCTCCTGGGGCCTCCTGGGGCGGGGCCCCGTTGGGACTACCTGGGGGCCCTCTTGGGCCGGTGTGGGGCCCTCTTGAGCCGGTTTGGGGCCTTCTCGGAGGTCTGTTAGGCAGTATTGGGGCGATCTTGGGGGCCTCGTGGGCTGTCTTGGAGCCTCGGGAACCCGAAAGAGATGAAACTCCCATATCTCCCACAAACAAGCAGAAAATCAATGATTTTTGCCTCGTGGGGCCCTCTTGGTAGTGGTCTTGGAGGCATCTTGGGACATTTTGGAGAGACCTCTGGGAATATGACGGCCCCTTTGGGGTCGTCGTCGACCGACTTGGGGCTCTTTGGTGTCGTGTCGCGAGCGCGCTGGAACGTCGGAGGCCCTTTGGGGCTGTCTTCGGGCTCTCGTGAGGTCCTCCCAGGGCGTCAGGGGGGCTGCCCGAAAAGCCTGGGGTGGGCCAAATTCGTTAGGTGGGGGGATTGTTTTTTTTGTTTCGGGGGCCCTGGCCCTCTTAAGATACATGGATAGGAATATATGTATATATATATACACACATCTTTACATCTATAAATATATACACACATATATGTATATATGTAAATATGTATAACTGTATGTATATATATATATATATGTGTATGTATGAATGCATGTATGTATGTATATATGCATATTTATATGTACACGTATGTGTATATATACATATGTTTATAGATATGTATACATATGTATGTGTGTAGGCGTCTCGTTTCTCACTGCTCCGCCTGGTGTTCCAGGTTGAGCGGACCATGAGATGGCCCGTGCTCCCGTCTGCCCATGGCACGACTTGTTCAGTCTGGTGGTCCTCCTTTTCCTCCTTCTGCTCCTCCCCCCCGAGCCCGAACCCCCTGCCAGAGGCGCCAGCCTCGAGGCCCGAGAACACGCGCGCGCGGACGCAGAGCGGCTCCGCCGACAGTCCGAGGCGTTCCAGGAGGAGTTGGCCGCGGCCGCGGTCGCGGCGTGCAGCACAGGCCCTGCCTTCGGGTGTCCTCGGCTTTCTTCCCAGAGAAGTAGGAGGAGGAGGAGGAGGAGGAGGAGGAGGAGGAGGAGGAGGAGGAGGAGGAGGAGGCATCGTGGACGATTCGCTCTGCACACAGGGGGCATCCATGGTTACAGCCAGCAGGGTGGGTGCACCCATGCTACGCCAAGCTTTCCCCAGGCCAAATGAAGAAGAGAACTGCGCTCCGAAATGTAGTTGATGACGCTGGGTCCCAGCTTAGCGCCAGCCTGCTGCGTAAGTCTGCGCCCCCCCCCACACTCGAACGGATCCCAGAACTAAAGTTGGTGACATGGCTCGCGTGTGTGCCTGTCCCCTCGACTGAGCCAAAGTGGCCCCGATCTCAATTTTGTAAATCACCGTGCTTCCCGCATCACGACCACGTCTTCCCCGTGCCCATGATCGAGGAGGAGGAGGACGACGACGACGACGAGGACGAGGAGGAGGAAAAGGATCGGAGAAGTTCACAATCGCAGAAGCGTAGATGCTCATGAGATGTTCGCGCGGATTCCTTGTGTTCATGCTGGGCCTCCCTGGCGGCGCCTGCGGCGCCGGAGCGCGCCAGGGAGGAAGTCCAGCGCCGATACAACAAGTCCGCGCGGACCTCCGAACGCAATGCTTGTACTAATGTGTCTGCCTTCCTGTCGGGGGAGGAGAAGGAGGAGGAAGCTGAAGGGCACCGTCGACCAACGACCCTGATGCCCTCAGCGCGAGCGCGCGAGGAGGAGGAGGAGGAGGAGGAGGAGGAGGAGGAGGAGGAGAAGAACTGGCTGCGTTCAGGGCGGCAGCTGCCTCTTGTCTGCGCCCCCACGCCCTTTCCGGCTGCGCGGCCTGAGGCCGACGTCGCCCCCCCAGGCCCATGCCCTTCCCCCCTTCGGCCCCTGTGTCGGGAGCTGGTACGTTTGACCGCCGCCGCTGTGTTGCTCCGCGTGCTGCTGCTCACATTGACAGGCTTCGAGTCGGTGCTCTGGCGATTTTCCAGCCTCGGGGTGCCTTTTCAGCAGCTGCGCCTCGCCGAGAGCGTTCGGGGGGCTCCCGAAGCGCCCCGAACGCCCGCCGGAGAGCCGAGCTATGACCCGAGAACAAGGAATCAGGCAGGCCACTGCGACCGTCATTAACGACTCAAGATCAACGGCGCGGCCGCCGCTGGCCTGCTCTGTCCTGCCTCTCCTTGCTGCCTCTCTTTGTCGCCGTCGGGACAGGCGACCCCAGCCCGTCCTGGGGATCTCCGTTTTGGGGTCGGCGCGCAAATTCCTGCTGGCACGGAGATGGTGCCTCTTCTTTGTCGACGGGATTCACGTCACAAGTCGACCCGCGGAACGCACTGCTTTTTTCCGACATTAAGGTGGGTGTCTTCTCAGACAAGGAGCCCACCGCGACGGTTTCGACACGCACGATGTTCTCCATGATGCTTTCGTTGTTGAGGGACTGGCGATGCCCTTGTTGCATTTCCCTGCGCAGCCGTGTGAGACCCAGGATGGCTGAGGTGGGGTAGACCGTATTTGGGCACAGCGTGTGCCGGCGGGTCTCGTCTGCGATCTCCAGCAGCATGCCGGAGCTAGGGTTGCACCTGCTGCGGCTCGATGGAAAGTACCACTTTGGATTGCTTCCTCTCTGGATTCATCCTCGTGTCCCATATTCATCCCCCCCTCCCTCCCCTCAGCACCCCTCCTTCCCTCACGCACCCGAGCCTTCATGACCACGGCGTCGAAAGGAGTCTGGGAAGTCTCTGACCTGGCGGGCGGTGGGGAGGAGCAGACGTCCCACCCCGCTGCCCGCTCTCTGGCGAACGTCGGCCTGACCCCTCTATCCTGGCCGCGGCCCGCGGCTCTCCCGGCGCCGCAGACGGCGGGAGCGGCGACGTCGGTGACGATCTCCCGCGGCCAGCCCGCCGCCAGCCCGCCGCCAGGCGCGGCGTGGGCCGCGAAGCTGGGCCCGCTCGAGCAGGAGTGCGGCGACTCGCGGGCCGAGCTTTCGCAGGCGCCCCAGCGCCGGCCGGCGCTGCTGCTCGGCATCGCTCCCCCGATCGCCATCCACATCGGGCCATGCAATCTCAGCCCCACGGGGCCCCCGCCGGGGCGGGGGAGGGCCACGCGAGACTGGAAGGGAACGTCCTCTGTGCTCATTTGGGGCAGTAAATAAGTTAGTGGGGCCCAGGCCATGCCAGTGGGGCTGTGGTTGGGGAGGAGGAGGAGGAGGAGGAGGAGGAGGAGCAGGAGGAGGAGGCGGAGGAGGAGGAGGAGCAGGAGGAGGAGGGGAGAGGAGCAGGAGGAGGGAGGAGGAGGAGGAGGAGGAGGAGGATGAGAAGGAGAAGGAGGAGGAGGCGGAGGCGAGGAGGAGGAGGAGGAGGAGGAGGAGGAGGAGGAGGAGGAGGATGCTCCTCCGCCGCCGGCCGCGCCCGCCGTCGTGGCCGCGGCCGCGGCCGGCCGGCCCGCCCGCCGCCGGCCTATATGGGGGCGCCGCGAGCCGGCCGGGCGGCCGTGTCGGCACGAGGCGTGGGCACGAGGGACGTCAGGAAGGAACAAAAACACACAGACACCATGAATCCTCGATTCCCCAGAAAATATGGGAAAGTATGGGAAGTGGGGGGAAGACAAAAACCCAGAGAATATGGGAAAATATGGGGAATCCTTTTATTCCCTACCTAGGCTCTGCCTAGAAGGGTTCTTACTCTCTAGCTTAAAGGGGCCGGGCAGTGCTACACGCCCCGGGCGGTTCCCCCAGTCCCCGCCCCGCGGTTCCCCCAGTCCCCTGGGAGCTTTAGCCTTAGCTTTAGCTTTAGCTTAGCTTTAGCTTTAGCTCTAGCTTTAGCTTAGCTTTAGCTTAGTGTTAGCTTAGATTTAGCTTAGCTTTAGCTTAGCTTTAGCTTAGCTTCAGCTTAGTGTTAGCTTAGCTGTAGCTTAGCTTTAGCTTAGCCTTAGCTTAGATTTAGCTTAGCTTTAGCTTAGCTTTAGCTTAGCATTAGCTTAGCTTTATCGTAGCTTTAGATTAGCGTTAGCTTAATCTTAGCTTAGCTTAGCTTAGCGTTAGCTTAGTGTTAGCTTAGCCTTAGCTTAGCTGCAGCTTAGCTTTAGCTTAGCTTTAGCTTAGCTGTAGCTTAGCTTTAGCTTAGCTGTAGCTTAGCTTTAGCTTAGCTTTAGCTTAGCTTTAGCTTAGTTTCAGCTTAGCTTTAGCTTAGCTTTAGCTTAGCTTTAGCTTAGCTTTAGCTTAGCTTCAGCTTAGCGTTAGCTTATATTTAGCTTACTGTTAGCTTAGCTTTAGCTTAGCTTTAGCTTAGCTTTAGCTTAGCTGTAGCTTAGTGTTAGCTTAGCTTCATCTCAGCTTCAGCTTAGATTTAGCTTTGCTTTAGCTTAGCCTTAGCTTGGCTTTAGCTTAGCTTTCGCTTAGCTTCAGCTTAGTTTTAGCTTAGCGTTAGCTTAGCTTTAGCTTAGCTTTAACTTAGATTTAGCTTATATTTAGCTTTAGCTTTAGCTCAGCTTTAGCTTAGCTTTAGCTTAGCTTTAGCTTAGATTTAGCTTATCTTCAGCTTAGCATTCGCTTATCTTTAGCTTAGTATTGGCTTAGCCTTAGCTTAGCTTTAGCTTAGCTTCAGCTTAGCTTCAGCTTAGCTTTAGCTTAGCTTTAGCTTAGCTTTAGCTTAGCTTTACTGTTACTACTAATGCTGCTCTCCTAGGGGCTCCAACTCCCAGGTAGGGTCGCACTGGGATAATTTGTGTGTATGTATTTGTGTCCCAGGGCCCCTTCAGGAGAGGGGTCCCGAGGTCGGGCGAGGCGGCGACCGGGAGGAGCATGGCCCCAGAGCGTTCCGGAACGCTCTCATTGGCGTCCTGGAGCGCTCTGGAGCGGCTGCGGCGCCCGACGCGACCTCCAGGAGCGTCGGGCCTCCGAGAGCCTGGATCCGTCTCGGTCCGCTTCGTCCCGGTCCTGGCTTCGTCTTAGGGAGAGGGCGGGTCCCAGACCCCCGGGGCTGTCCCCGCTGGAGGGTTTCTCCGAAGGGCTTAGGCGACCCCTCCTCCTCCTCCTCCTTCTCCTCCTCCTCCTCCTCCTCCTCCTCCTCCTCCTCTTGCTCCTGCTCGTACTCCTCCTCCTCCTCCTCCTCCTCCTCCTCCTCCTCCTCCTCCTCCTCCTCCTCCTCCTCCTCCTCCTCCTCCTCCTCCTCCTCCTCCTTCGGGTCGGCTACGGCCCAGGGGGAAACCGTGCAGTCCCCGCAAGCCAGCTCTGCGTCCTGCGCGTTGCTCGGTGGCCGCTCCAGAGCCTGCCTGCGCCGCGGAGGGCCCTGGGGCCCGAAAGCGGCGTCATCTTTCCAGGACTCCTTTTCTACAGTGGAGACACATGCCAAGAAGCACCCTGCTTGCCTCCAGGGTGCCCTGGGTTTCTTGGGTTTCGATGGTTTTGCTACGGAAATCGTGACGCTCCCACACCAAAAGTCGATGGACGTCTTGGGGTCTCAGGGTTGGGTTTCTTGTGGAAGGTTTCTCGTGGAGTGGCCTCCACTGTACAGGACCCGTTCCCTTCATGGTCAGACGAGGCCGAGGCCCTGGGCAGGCAGATGGAGGAGAGGCAGAGGCAGGGGAAGGTTGAGGAGGAGGAGGAGCCCGACCCGCTGCTCCCCGCCGAGCTCGTTTTCTGTCCCTGCATGCGAACGCGGTCGTACCCTTCGCGGTCGTTGGCGGCCCTTCATGGCCAAAGCTTTTGAGGGCAAAGGGCCATGAGTCATGAGGTTCGTCGCCGTGCCTTGCCTTCCCAGGAACTGTGCCCAGGCCCCGCGGATTTTCAGATGACGGCTCGGGGTGGAGCAATGACACCATGGCGACAGAAGACCCTGAACAGTTATTTGAGCCACTTTACGTTTGGTTTCTGCCCTCTCGGCTCGGCGGCCTGGGCAGGGGCGCTCCAGATTGGCGCGGACAGCGCGCGCGCGGGCGCGTTCAAGGCTGAAACGTTCAAGGCTTCGACAGCCTTTGAGGCCCCATGACGGGGGGAATCGCTGCGGTCCTGGAGCCCGGTGAGGGCCCGCGGAGGCCGAACATGGTCAAAATTTCCGTCGTGGTTCATGCGCAGCGCGAGGAGGGGGGTGCTCCTCCTTCTCCTCCTCGATCCTCGTCGTCGATCCTCGTCCATCTTACATCCCCCCCCGAGAAGGAGCGGCGGCGCGCCGAAGAGGCAGCCAGCGCCCGGCGCGAGGCGCTGCGCGAGGTCGGCGAGCGGGCGCTGGGGCTGGAGGAGCAGGCCGAGGGGAGGAGGAGGAGGAGGAGGAGGAGGAGGAGGAGGAGGAGGAGGAGGAGGAGAGGAGGAGGAAGGATGAGGAGAGGAGGCCAAGGAGGAGAGGCGGAGGAGGAGAGTGAGGAGGCGGGAGGAGAGGAAGGCGGAAGAGATAAAGGAGGAGGAGGAGGAGGAGGAGGAGGAGGAGGAGGAGGGGGGGGGAGAGGTGAGGAGGAGGAAGATGAGGGGAGGAGGCGGCTAGAGGAGGACGAGGATGAGGATGATGAGGAGGAGGAGGCGGAGGAGAAGGAGAAGAAGAAGAAGAAGGATGAGGAGGAGGGCGGGGATGGGACGCATGCGGTTTTGCTCCTCCAGCTCCGCCCCTCGCCTCAAGCGGATCGTGGCAGCAGGCCTGGCCTACAGGCTGAGGCCTGGCCCAGGTCTTGCCACTCGAGCCGCTCTCGCCACCCTCGACGTTGGATGACGACGACGAGAAGGAGGAGGGCGCCCTTTTCACTCGAGTGCCTCACGGCGCCCGACCGGGCGCGAGCTCGTCCGCCCGGCGCCAGGCCCTCCGCCTCTGCGCCTGGGCGATGGCCCCCCCTCGTGCACTGGGCGCGAGCTCGTCCGCCCGGCGCCAGGCCCTCCGCCTCTGCGCCTGGGCGGTGGCCCCCCCTCGTGCTCCTGGCGCCTGGCCGCCCCTCTGCCGCGCCTGGCCGCCGCCGCCGCGGGCCGCGGGCCCCCCATCGAGGGCCCCCGCCCGCACTGGAGGGGGGGGGGCCTGGCGAGACATCGGGCCTGTCCCTCCACAGGAGGAATATTCAAAAATAGAGTAGAAATAGTACAGGGACGATTGTTTGGGTATTTTTTGGCATTTGTTGTGCATTTTTGGGCACTGGGCATAATAATAATAATAATAATAATAATAGTAGTAATAATAATAATAACAATAATAATAGCGATAATTTTATTAATAATAATAATAATCATAATAATAATAATAATAATAAACAAATATAATATACATATAAATATATATAAGAGAGAAAACAACACACACAAAAAAACGCCCAAAATCCGCCTGTAGGGGGACATGCCCGCCGCGGCGCCAATGCGCCCCTGCGGCTGCCGCTGGCGCCCACCGCCCTGGAGACTCTGGCAGCACGCTGCCGCGCATCCCGGCCCGCGATGCTGCAGCTGGTTTTGGGGCCGCCGCCTCCTCAAGCCTCGCGAGGCTCCCCTGCGCTGCCTCTAGCCTGTGCGGCCATCTGAGCTGCCCCTGCGCCTGAGCCTCAAAGGCCCCGCTGCGGCTGCCCGCTCGCCTCCTCCTCGGGCCAAGGTCAGATCCGCAGTCGCCATGCTGCTGGCCACGCCCGCGCCATGTCCCTCGCCTCCCAGAGGTAGCCCTGGAACGCGTCGCTGTTCCAACGCCCCCACCCCTGCACGACAATTCGCTGTGTCGTTTTCGCTCGATACGTTCGCATGTTGGAGATGTGGGAAAGTGTGATCCGTGTTTTCCTACAGCTGAATTCCCAACACCACCGTTCAGCAACATCGCCGTTGGCGCGGCGTCGGCAATGGGTCGTGCATCCTCGTGCCCGAGAACCTGTCCTTCGCCCAGCCCTCATTGATGGCCAGCGCTACGGCGCACGAGCGAGCCTCTGCCTCCTCGCCTTCTTTCGCCTCGACCCTGAAGCCGTTGCGCCACTCGCCGCGATTGCACTGGTCCGTCTTGCTGGCCCGAATCGGGGGAGCGTAAGACCCGGGTTTGCCAGGACTCGGGTTCGCCGTCGTTTTTTGACGACCGCGACTCGGATTTTGACGAGGAGGAGTTTTGTGGGATGTCTGCAGCGGGAGGCCTCGTCAAAATGCAGGCTCGGCCTCGTCATTTTTTTGACGACCTCGTCGGGGATTTCCGAGTCCCCCGTACCCGGGTCTTACGTCTCCCCGACCGAATCTTGATGACCGCCTCGTCTGCCTCGAGCCAGCTCATGCACGGCTCGCCTCCTGCCTTCGGCGCGACGCCCACACCCCGCAGGCCCCTGCTGCTCGTGTATAGCCGCTCGGGTCGCTGGACACGTACTCGCTCGCCCTCAGGAAAAAGGAGCAGCCCCGGGAGGAGGAGGAGGAGGAGGAGGAGGGGGAGGGGGAGGAGGAGGGAGGAGGATGAGGAGGAGGAGGGAGGAGGAGGAGGAGGAGGAGGAGGAGGCGTGGCTACTGCCGCCCAGAGCGCCGCTCCTTCGCGGACCTCTCTGGTTGCAGCTTCTTCCGGATCCGCATCATCCTTGGCGTGACCGGCTTCTTCCTCTTGGGGGCGCCGTCCCGCCGCCTGAGTCCGTCGATCGCCTTTCAGAGCCTCCGTCAGATCGCTCGTGCCGAGAGCCAGGTACTGGGCCCAGACAGCGCTGAGATACTACGTGATGGTGCCAGCCCTCGTGTGGCTGCGCCAGGAGAAGTGCACGACAAACTCCAGCAGCAGCTCCTCTTCGTCCCTCCTGTTGGCCTGGGTGACCTCCCTGAGCGGGCTGGTCCCGCGCGCCCTGCAGAGGAGGGACGGACCACCAGCACCATCTCAGGCTATATGACGTGATGGTGGAGCTCGCCACCTTGTCCAGGATGAGCTCCAGCTTGGCCCTCTCCCAGTCCTCGCGCGTCTTCGAGTCCGTCAGGATCAGGTCGTCGGGCTTCGCCCGGTCCAGCACCGCCTCCGGCCCCCAGCAGCTTGGGTGGCCGGTGCACCACCGGCTCGACGCTCTTGCCTCCCTTAATTCTTCCTCTGGGCGTTAGCGCCCGCTCCCAGCTCCTCGCCCCCCTCCGGCGACAGTGCTGCCGTAGTCGAGTCGAGCCAGCCTGCCCGCTGGTCCTGGCAGCCCCAGATCTCCGCCAGCTTGTCCAGTCACGCCTGCGCCTCCCCCTGCTCCAGAGAGCCGCTCCACCTGCCCTCTCCCCTGTCCTCCCTCACGACTGCCTGCAGGTGCGGCAGGATGCTTGCATGGTGCGATCGCACCAGCGCTTCCCGGGCTCCCTGCCTCCTCCAAGTGGCGGGAGGTCGCTCCTGGATCGATGCGGCCCCCGGCCTCGCCAGCCTGCAGGCCCGACTCGAAGCCGCTGCGCTCGGTGTGCCTCGGGCCGATTGGTCCCAGACAGGCGCTCAGCTAGCGCCTGGCCTCGATCCCCCGTTCATCCGTGGCCCTGCTCGCCACCTGCGCGAGCCTGTGAGCGCGCTCCCGAAGGACCACCGCCCTGAGGTGGCCGCCTACTCCCCCGCATGCAGTCCTGGCCTGCGGGACGGGCAGGGGCTCCCGGCCATTCTGCTCCTCCCCCACCTCCGTCTGGCTCGAGCTCGAGCCCGAGCCCGAGCCCGAGCCCGAGCCCGAGAGCCCGAGCACGAGCCCCAGCCCGGGCCCGAGCCCGAGCCCGAGCCCCAGCCCGAGCCCGAGCCCGAGCCCGGGCCCGAGCCCGAGCCCGAGCCGAGCTCGAGCTCGAGCTCGAGCCCGAGCCCTGCCTTCCTCTCGAGAGCAAGTCTCCGTCGCCCTCGGACACGGACACGGGCGCGGGGCGTGCCCGGCCGCCGAAGCCGCCCAAGCCGCCCATCGAGGGTCGGGCCTCGGGCCTCGGGAGTGGCCCCCGTCCCCTCCGCATCGGGCGGGCCACGGCACCCTTCCTCCTCCTCCTCCTCCACCTCCTCCCTCCTCCCCTCCTCCCCTGTGCAGCTCCACCCTCCTCCTCACTCCTCCTCCTCCTCCTCCTCCTCCTCCTCCTCCTCCTCCTCCTCCTCCTCCTCCTCCTCCTGTCGGCGCGTGCTGGCGCGAGGTGGGCCTCGCGCTCGCGCTGGCCCTCGGCCGACCGGGATCTGGTCAGGCGCCCCCTCGCCACGTGCCCGCTCGAGCTGTCCGAGGCCCGCGCCCGACGCGCGCTCGCCACCGAGGCTGCCGCCGCCCCGCTCTGCCCCCGCGCGGGCCCTCGAGCGGAGGGGGCCCCCGCCCTCCGGCGCAGAGACCCCCCGGGGGCCTCTGCCGCCGAGGCGCCGTCGGGCGCCCCTCGCGGCTGGACGCCCAGTGCCCGCCGTCGGGCGCGCCTGGCTGCCTGCGGCCCTCCGCCGCCCACGCGCCCCGCGCCTCCTCGGCGCGCCGCCCGGCGCCCCAAGCGCGCCGTGTGCGGCCCTGCTCTGCCTCGCCGGGCGAGGGCGCGGCTCTCGGGGCTGCCTCTCGCGTCGTGGTGGCCCCCCTCCCCTCGCCTCCTCCTCCTCCGCCTCCTCCGCCTCCTCCTTCTCCTCCTCCTCCTCCTCCTCCACCTCCTCCTCCTCCTCTTCCTCTTCCTCCTCCTCCGTGCCAGAAGCCCTCGGTATTCCCGCACGCCCGGCAGCAGCACCAGCCCCCCCCCTGTCTCCAGCGGTGCGCGGGGGGTCGGTTGCAACCCGCCGTCCAGCACGGCTGGGCCTCGTCCGGGATCGCGCCTGAGGCTCCCGGATATCTTCTCCGGATGCTCGGCAGTCGGAGAGGTTCGGGCCAGACGAAGGGGGGGATTGGGAAAGGGGGGGTTAAGAAGTCTGCTGCATGCAGCTGGTTTCGGCCCCACCGAGGGGCCAAGTCCTCGATACATAGCCGCCTCCGGCGCCGGGAGGCGCCAAGAAAATCAGCTACGTGAGCTGATTCTCACCCCCCCGTTTGCTATCCCCCCCTTTCGCCCGGCCCGAGAGGTCACCGTGTGTTCCCCGAAGTTGCGCCCGAAGTTGCGCCCCGAATTGTGCCCGAGGTTTTGCCCCCGAAGTTGCGCCCGAGATCGGTGCCTGGAGCTTCGTTTACCAGAGGCGCTGCCAGAGTTGGTGTCCCAAGCGATGCCCGAAGCGATGCCCGAAGTGAACTTGTGCGAAACTGTACACGCGAAGCGCTTCTCGCAGAAGCCGCGCCAGCGACGGAATGCGGCGACGATTTCGGCTCACGATCCTCAAATGCCCTCGGTCGATTGGACGCATGCCTGGACAGACTAGTCGGGCCCCAAAATCGTATAGCTTTCCCCCGAGCTCCACAGTCTCCGAGACCGACTCGACTCGCCCCAAATCGGTGCGCCTCATGATCGATTTGACAGGTACCGAGTACGATCCAGCAGAACCCAAGGTTGCCGCCCCATCTGGCGTTCTCAGTCTCGCTCGTGGCGGCAACACCCCGTACCGTCTCCCCCCCTGCGGATCCGCGGACTTCACCACGTTCTCACGGAGCGACCCGCAAAGCAAACCATTCCAAGCATGTTAGATTTCGGAGCACATTTCGGGGTAGATAATGTCGGCATCGCACGTGCGCGTGCGAAACGTTTTGCAGCATCGGCTGATGCATCTAAGGTTGACTCTGGTCCTCATCCTCTTTCTCTGTCTTCTCCTTCTCCTCCTCCTCCTCCTCCTCCTCCTCCTCCTCCTCCTCCTCCTCCCCTTCCCCCCTCCTCCCCTTCCTCCTCCCTCTCTCCTCCTCCTTCTCCTCCTCCTCCTCCTCCTCCTCCTCCTCCTCCTCCTCCTCCTCCTCCTCCTCCTCCTCCTCCTCCTCCTCCTCCTCCCCCTCCGCCTCCGCCTCCCCCCCCTCCTCGTCCGCGTGAAGCTGTCAGCATCCCCCCCCGTGTCCGCCTCGCGGCGGCCATGGCGCCGCCTGGCGCCGGGCCCGTGGGGAACCTGCGGGATTGGGAGCCGTTGCAGTCGCTGGCCGAGGAGTTCCGCTACAACGCGGGGATCGTGGGCAAGGCTCGAAGATTCGGGGCACCGAACAGTGGGGCAAGGACAATTGGGGGCGTGGACATCATGGCCAGTCGGCCATGACATCTCCCTGGCTTCATGGTCTCCTTCTTTCAATGCCCCCCCTTCTTCAGCGCACGTGCCTTGGGCCATGACGCGCTGGTCATCGTTTTGGTTGACCCAAAAGGAGGTCCAGCTGAAAGGGGGTGGTGCAATTGATTTTCGGGTTTGCAAAACATTTGGGGCGTGCAGTCCATTCCGGCGCGCAAATGTATTGTTGGATTTTCGCGTGCAACGCAGTCGCTGCAATACACTGCAATACAATTCTCTGGCGCAATACATTTGCACTGTTATTGCCCCACCTCTATTGCACCACCCCCTTTCAGCTGGACCGCTGTTTGGGTAAATCAAACTTGTCTTCCTGGCCCATGGCCCCCCTCTTGGGCACACCCGAGAAGATTCGGGGCGTCGAAGAGGGGGATAAGGATTGCCTCCCCTTCTGTTCGTCGGCACAAGGCAGAAGAGGGCGGAACTAAAACAGGGGCAGCTGAGCTGGCCGAAGCCTGCAGAAGGCCGGCTTTCCCAGCGGAAGTAAATGTTGTGTTTTCAAGAGATGTATTTGTTATGATCCACCGCTTTCGCAACCCGCCACATGGCGTCCATACGCCTCCAGGGTGTGATTTAATGTCGAAGTTCTCCCTCGCTGGGAGCGCGCGGTCACAATTGGTCGGGCCGCGCACGCAGGACGACCGATTCACCTCAGGAGGTGTTCGTGACGCGCTTCAGAGGGGGAGAACGGGGGGAAGGGAGGACTTCAGGGTGAGTGCAGCACGGTCGGGACCAAGAAAGCTCGTTCACTGCACTCCCCGCCCCCCCTTCGTCCGCGCACATGCTTCGAGTCGGGGCGCTGGAGGCTGGGGCGTGCCAGCCGTCCGGTACCTCGAACAAGCCGGGAGCTCCCTCTTGAGATTAGCATCTCCCCTTCTCCATCCTCTCTCCTCTCTCACCCTCCCCCTCTTTTCTTCTTCTCCTGCTTTCCCTTCCCCTCCCCCTCCTCCTCCTCCTCCTCCTCCTCCTCCTCCTCCTCCTCCTCCTCCTCCTCCTCCTCCTCCCCTTCCTCCTCCTCTATTCCTGTCTCGGGCCTCGGAACCGCCAAGACACGATTCGGGATGAAAAAACCTGCCCTGGTGAACGGGCAGAAGAGTCCCTGGGCCCGCGCATCGAGCAGAACCCAGCGCCCGATGCTCAGGTTCTCATCGACGGCCTTTGGAACGCGCCGATGACTCCGTTGGATTATGCCCACTTTCACTGAGCCGTGGGGGGTGCAGGAGGGGGCGCCGCAAACGCGTTGGGAACGCTCATGCCCCCTTTGAGCAATGCCCACGCTCACTAGGGCCTGACCGAGGATCGAGTGCGAGGATCATTTTCTTTCAGGTTCTGGTCTCCAGGATGCCGTCGCCACGGCTTGAGTCCCTCAGAAGCTCGGGCAGGAGCACATCCCAGAGCAGGTCAGGAGCTCCCATCACTGCAGCGCCGGGAGCGTGGGCAAGGCCCGGAGAACAAAGAGGCAAATCGCGCCAGACGTTTTGGGCCTCGGGAGCGTCAAATTTCAGTCGGCGATGAGGCCAGCCAGGATGGAGTTGGGGAGGTCCTTGGGGACCGATTCTGAGAGGGCTCGGGCGTTTGCCGGGAGCCAGAGTGATCCTGAGGACCGAAGTTCGAGGATTCAGGTCCTTTCAATTGCGTTGTATGGCTTGGGCCTCCTCCAGACGGCGCTCCTCGTCGACGCGGCTGGATTCCCTCTTTGATATTCTAGTCAGACCGCCTTCCAAGAGAGGTCTGAGGGGACGACTTTGTCTTGGGTCGCCATGAAGACAAGGGTCTTCCTGTCCAAGATGTCCGCTACTTTCGGCCTGCGGTAGGTTCGGGTCGTGTCGACTGGCGGCGACCCCGCCGCTGGCGTTCAACGTTGAACGCGGCCAGCGACCCAGAGTCGGTCGATGTTGAACGATCTCACGCTTCGGAAGCGGTCGATCGTTCAAGGCTGAACGATCCAGCGCGGTGTCAGAGACCAACACCGAGGTTGGCACGTCACGAGTCGGAAGACGGAGAGCCGGGTCAGGCAGCCCCCGGGTGTCTCGGGCCGGACGAAGGGGGGGGATTGGGAAAAGGGGGGGGTACGAAATCTGCTGCTTGCAGCTGGTTTCGGCCCCACCGAGGGGCCCAGTCCTCGATGCAGCCGGGAAAATCAGCTTCGTGAGCTGATTCTCCCCCCCCCCCCTTTGCTATCCCCCCCTTTCGCCCGGCCCGAGTGTCCAGAGCCCGCCGCACCTTTCAGGGCCCGTTCGGTTTTGCTGGGGACGTGGCCAGGGCAGGGGCCCTGGCTGCGCTCCTCCTCCTCCTCCTCCTCCTCCTCCTCCCTCCTCCTCCTCCTCCGCCTCCTTCCTCACTCCTCCTTCCTCCTCCTCCCACCCTCCTCCTCCCTACCTCCTCCGCTCCTCCTCCTCCTCCTCCCCTCCTCCTCCTCCTCCTCCTTCCCTCTCCTCCTCTATTCCTCCTACACTCTCCTCCTCCTCCTCCTCCTTCTCCTCCTCCTCCTTCTCCTCCTCCTCCTGGCCTGGTCTTTGCGGTGCTGCCGGTGGAACATTTGAGGGAAGGCGTTCAGCAATGCTGCCCGCGGGGGCAAGCAGTAACGTATAGGAGAAAGTGGAGGAGGAGGAGGAGGAGGAGGAGGAGGAGGCGGAGGAGGCGGAGCAAGCAGACGTCGCACCCTGGCTGTACCCTCTTATAGAAGGATGGCAAATCAGCATCTCCTGTGGGCGGGAGGAGCAGGAAGAGGAGGCGGGGAGGAGAAGGGGAAGGAGGAGGAGAGAGAGGAGGAGGAGGAGGAGGAGGAGAGGAGGGGGAGGAGGGGATGATGATGATGATGATGATGCTGATGAGATGATGATGATGATGAGAGGAGGAGGAGGAGGAGGATGGAGGAAGAGGAGGAGGAGGAGGAGAGGAGGAGGAGGAGGAGGAGGAGGGGGAGGAGGAGGAGGAAGAGGAGGAGGAGGAGAGGAAGAGGAGGAGGAGTAGGAGGAGAAGGAGGAGACAGAGAAAGAGGATGAGGACCAGAGTCAACCTTAGAGGAAGAGGAGGAGGAGGAGGAGGAGGAGGAGGAGGAGGAGGAGGAGACGGAGGGGGTGGGCGACCGCGGGCGGGGCCGTCCTGCCAATCCTTCGCCCGATTGACAGGTGAGCCAGCTGGAGCAGAGGGGGTACGGCGGCTGGCGGCGCGTCCGCGGGGACGGGAACTGCTTCTACCGGGCGGTCGGCTTCGGCCTGCTCGAGCTCATCGTGACGACCGACAGCCCGAGGCGGGCCGACTGGGCGGCGGCGCTGCTGCAGAAGCTGGCGGCCCTGCGCCTGCAGGACGCCGGCGAGAGGGCGGCCCACGCGGCCCTGCTGGCGTGCGTGCGCGGCCTGTTCGCGGCCGTGGGGCTGCTGCGGCAGGGGCAGCGCGAGCCCCGCGACCTCCTGGTGGACTCCGCCGCGGAGGACCTGCTCCGCGTGATGAGCAACCCCGATCGCTCGGAGGACCTGGCGCTGGTCCGCGCTCTGAGGGTGCTGGTGGCCCAGTACATCACGGAGCACGCCCACGACGACAGCCTGAACGGCGGCATATCGTTCCAGCTCATCGCGGAGAGCCTCGGGTATGCCGGCGCGGAGGGCTTCTGTTCCGCGGTGGTGTTGGCGTCGGGAGTCGAGGCGGAGGACATGATTTTGCCAGCGGTGCCTGGGGCCTTGGGCGTGGGATTGTGCGTGGCACTCCTCCACAGGTCTAGCGGGAGCGATCTGATTTTTTGTAACTACGGCTTGGACGCTGAGGACGAGAGCGCCAGGCCGGTGGTTCACTTGCAGCTGAGGCCGGGGCATTACGACCTGCTCTACCCGGCCGCGTGGATGCCTGCATCCAGCAGCGGGGCCTTTGCCCAACCGCCCCCAGCGCAGCAGGAGAAGGCGCGCAGCACGTGGGAGCCGCCAGCGAGGGGCGCCACGCTCCCTCACCCACGAGGGCACAACGGGCGCGGTGAGGGCCGACCATCTCCCTCGCAGAGGAGCGGATCGTGGACGCTTCCGGCCACTTCGGCCTCGCTGCCAGTCGCAGGGGGGGCGCCGTCCGCGTCTCAAGTCTCTTTGGGTCCCCCAGCGACGTGCTCGGATTTGAGGTCCCCGGTCATGTCCGCCGCGCCAAGGCCCCCAGCCACGTCCATTGAGCTGCGGCCACTGACCGCGTCCGCGGAGCTGAGGCCCCCAGCGACGTCCGCGGAGCTGAGGCCCCCAGCAACGGAGCTGAGGCGCCCAGCAGCTTCCTCTTCGTTGAGGCCCCCAGCCACGTCCGCGGAGCTGAGGCCCGCGGCCGCGTCCTCTGCGTTGAGGCCCCCGGCGACGTCCGCGGAGCTGAGGCCCCCAGCCACGCCCGCCGCGCCGAGGCGGGAGGCACTGCCAGCGGCCCCCCGCGAGGCCGCCGCGCAGCCCTACCCCGCGCCGAGGGGCCGCGAGGCAGCCCCGCCCGTGCCGCCGCTGCCGGTGCGGAGGACCGCCGTGGACCTGGCGGGCCTCTCTGGCCGCGCGCCCGGCGGGCCTCCGCTGCCGGCGCGGGGGGCCCCCGCCGACCCCGCGGCGCTGGCCAAGCCGCTGCCGCAGCGGAGGCTCCAGGAGAGGCCCTCGGTCGGCTCCAGTGGCGGAGCGCCGGCTGCGCCCCCTCCGCGGCTGGCGGATGCGTCGCGCCCGGCCGCCCCAGGCGACGAGCGGTGGCCTCGTGATGCCGGAGCGCACGCACGGCAAAATTCCCTTCGGGCCAGCCACAACCCAGACCCCCTCGAGTAATGAAAAAATCATGACGGGAGGTTTTTCCTAATTTTCGGCCTCCGGGGGCCCTCACCGGGCCTCGGGAGCCTCAAAAAACGACTCAGGATGCAAAGCCGGTCATTGGGAAAGGGTCGGGACCTCTGGGGGTCGCGTCGTGAAAAAATCACTACGTCGGGGGTCTGGGAACCCAGCGGGGAGGTGTGGTCTCTGATCCCTGTCGTCCTCGCGTCGTGGAAGCAGTCACGAATGAGGGTTTTTGATCATCTTCGGCCTCGGCAGCCCCTGCCATGCCTCAGGACCGTCAACACAAATGATTCGGGTCGGACAGCCGGTCCCCGGGAAGAGGTCCAGACCTGCGGGGGTCCACGTTGTGAAAAATCACGGCGTCGGATGTCTGGAATTACCCACCTGGAGGATCGGATTCTAGTATACCCTTCTAGAGAGGCCGTCGATGCCATATGCCCCGGCCGGAGGGTAAGAAATCAGACTAAGAAAAATGGCCCCTCCCCCGGTTGTGGTTGGTCGCCTCCCAGACCCCCAACAGCTTGAAGGAAGAAATCGAGGCGGAGGTTGTTCGTAATGTTCGGCGTCTGGGGGGGGGCGGGCACTTCCGGAGTGGGGTATCATCAACAAGACGGCGTGGAGCGAAAGAGCTGTCCCCAGGAAGGGGTCGCGAGTTCCAGGGCCTGCGTGTGTAACAACA